CCTGGGAAGTGTGAGGCATAACGAGCACTAACGAGGGACGTGATGCCATCGCACAGCACGCAGTAGGTACTTTAAAAGGAGCGGGGCGCTGTGGACACTGGAGGTAAGGTCGCTCTGTGACTCAGCGGGCGCGCTCCTTGTGAACTGAGTGTTGCCTTCCAATGAGCTTTGGTTGTCTGTCACAGAGTAGAACTTCTGCTTTCTTGTGTAATGCTGTTCACTTTTTCCAATATGAGGGTCTCTGCCTTTGATGTCGTGTCCAGTAAGGCTTCTCTAAGACGTGCAGGACACTCCTGGACACCCTTGGACAGGGCCCCCGAGGACTTGGTTCTGGTTCAAGTCGTGGTTTCCCTGACAGTAGCTTGTTTCAGGGTGTACAGATTGTGGGACACATGCCTGGAGTGACTGCAGGGAGGCCAGGGGTAAGCACATTTGGGTGCATGCAGGGTGGGGGCTGGCCAGTGGGGATACCTCCCAGCACGTGAGGAAGGAGGCGCCACTGCACATGGGGCTCTGGTCTGAAGGAGAAGGCTCTCCGGTGTTGCCACTGCTGCTGCTGTGCCTGGGGACTCCCCAGGGCCCCAGGGCCCCAGGGCCTGTGCAGTGCTCTTGACAACAGCTCTGGGCTCAGGGAGCTTGGGTCCTAGGAGGAAAGTCCCTAAGGACAGGCTGGTTGGAAGCCATCCTCATGATGAACGCACCATGGACCAGTCTGGAAACTGGCTCCTTCCTCACCTTGGCTGGCATCTGGGCTCAGGGCCCCACCCCAGCTCAGACATCTTTTTACCAAGGTGCACCTTCCAGGGTATTCCTGTCCTGGAGTCTGCTGCTGAGGGATCTGCAGGAAGCCTTGGATACACAGGCAGGCATGTGAGAGTAGAGGGAAGGCTTTGGGAGAGGATCGCGCTTTTCTTAGGACTGGGAAAAGGCCTGCAAATGGACACTGACCGTGTGGCCTTTGGCTGAGCCAACCCCACAGGCGGCGTGTCCTGCAGCAGCTCGCCCCATGGAGTACGTCCTATTTGTGCTGTACTTCTCTTTCTTCCTCTGCCTCTGTGCCCTGGTGTGCCTGTACTTCTCTGGCTGCCAGGAAATGACATATAAGCATGAAGGTAAGCAACTGGCTGCAGGTGAGGAGGGGAGCCTCCATGACAGTCCCCAGCTATGCCCTGAATCCCCACATGTTCCAGGCTGTTCTGTGGGAGAGGACAGGAGGAGGAGGAGAGAGGGGCTGGATCCTGTGGAGAGGCTGTCCATCATAGGCCCCTTCGCCTCACCCTGGCCCATTACATCTCTAAGTGTGAGCACCTGTGTGCTCGGTAGTCAGGGAGAAGAAGGGTCAGCTTTGCCATCATTTTTGCTATGGCTACACTTTAAAGCCTGGGTTAGTTTGTGGAAAGGGCTCAGCCAGGCATGCCTTTGGTTGTAAGGAGAGTGGAAGGGTAGAGGGGTGAGCCCTTTGGATACAGCATGTGCATGCAGACTGAGCAATGGGGGTCTGTCCTGAAGCATTTGAGGAAGTGCTGAGGGGATTTAGAAAAATCAAGATGCAGAAAACATGATGGTCTCTGTCTTGGCCTTTAGAATATTTGTTTGTTTATTTGATACCAGGGATTGAACCCAGAAAGCTTAACCACTGAGCCACATCCCCAGTTTTTTTTAATTTTTAAATTAGAGACAGGGTCTCACTAAGTTGCTAAGGGCATTGCTAAATTGCTGAGACTGGCTTTGAACTTGCAATCCTCCTGCCTCAGCCTCCTGAGTTGCTGGGATTATAGGTGCGGCCACCATGCCCTGCTTTGGCCGTTTTGTTAAGGCCCACTCTGCCAGGAATGTGAGGAGGCAGTGTCTTTGGGGGTCACCTTGGCCCCTCAGGAAGCAGGCATTGCATTATTTCCTATATATTTGGGAAAAATATCATAAAACGAGTTGCACAATCTTCAGAGATGACGGCCCCTTGGTTCCCTTCTCACTTGAGGGTGTCTTTCTCTCTGTTGGGAGTGGCACAGACAGACGTGACGCAGCCAGGCTTCCTGCCATGTGGTCACGTAGGGAAAGCAGACAGACCACCCAGCAGGGACAGGACCCAGCCTCACTCCTCTGGAAACTGTGTGGACCACGGTGTCTCAGGCTTGTCTCGCTGTCTCAGGGACACAGGGACTGACCGCGAGTGCTGGGGCTCTGGCTTCCTCAGGGCGGCAGTTCTGTGAGACTTGGTCTCTGGGCACAGTTACATGGGCCCCGCTTGGGTCTGCAGCTGGGCTGTGTGCGAGGGCAGCTCCAGCTGAGCTGGGTCAGCGGCAGCAGTAGGTCTCACCCTGTTAGCAGGCCGTGGTAGGGAGCTCCTAACCAGCAGTCCCACAGGCTTCTAGGAGCAGATCTTCCTGGGGAGAGCCCACGGCCATCCACAGTACCAGCAGTGGACAGTCACCACAGGCACTGTGTCCTAGCGTGTGGAGGTGCGCGGCTTGACACCTCCTAGGCCCTCCCTGCACACGTCCCCTGCCAGCACAATCACAAACAGCCATCCCTGGAGGCCTGGCAATTAGTCTTGTTTACAAGAAATGAGCCAGCCAGCGCCGTCCAGAGAATGGCAGAGCCTGGGGCTCGGGGCCAGGCGTGTGTGCAGATGGTTTTGAGTGCCGCATAGGTGTCACTGCAGTGGGTACCATCGTCACCGTCAGTTGTCACTGCCACCTCTGTCCAGAAGATTGGGGGAGTTTCTGACGCTGCAGTCAGGCATGGCTGTCCTTGGAGAAGAATGCCATCGGGAGTTGGTGGAGCCTGACGGGCTTCCCTCCTACCTGTTGGGTCACTTGGAGGTGGAACTGGGTGGCGTCCTGGCTGGTGCTAGCTGCCTGAAGAATGGGAAGAGTAAGGGAGCTCTTAACACAGAACCATCTGTGGATAAACAAGCTCGTTCGGCTTTGAGTGCATTGACAGAGATGTGCTGAGCGTGCTCATTGAACAAGCACTGTTTTCTGTGAGGAGGCCTGGACTGAAGTGGGACAGAGAGCCCCACCCCTGCTTCACGGAGCTTCCATGCTAGAGGGGGAAGCAAAGAAACGAATGCACAGGCAAAGTCCATCTTATGATGGTACTGCTGTAGGGAAACAGGCAGGGGCAGGAGGCTGGGCGAGGTGGCTGGTGGGGATGTGGAGCTGGTGGTCAGGGAGGGCTCCTGATGTGGTGGTTTGTGCCAAAGAGCCAGAGTTAAAGGTGGAGGGAGAGCCACGTGGACTCTGGGGAGACTGTCTTGGCCACACAGAGGCCCTGTGGTAGGCCTGTGCGAAGTTCAGGAGAGCGCTGGCAGAGTTGGGCAGAGCAGTGGAAGAGAGAGGAGAACAAAGCACATCACGCAGGTCACCTGTACCATCATGGGGATGTTGGTCTTACTCAGTATGATGGAGCACCGAGGGGTTTCTGCGCACAAGACCAATGCAGCACACCTTCGTTCCGTGATAGTCACTCTGCCTGCTAGGTTGAGGCACAAGTGCAGAAAGAAGCAAGGAGGTCATGGAAGGGTCTTTTTTCCATGAGAGGTGACGGGGGCTTGGGCCAAGATGGAGGTGCTGGCGGATAGAGGGGGTGAGAGGAGGGATGCCGGGTTGAAGGCACCCAAGGGCTTCTCCCTGAGAGCAGATGACGCAGGGGCGCGGGAGGAGCTGAGGAGCCCTCTGGGCTCGGGACTGAGCAACCAAAAGATGACTACTGCTGCTGCTGAACCCAGGTGAGAGGTGGCAGGAGCAGGCACAGGGAGCCCATCAGTCACCCACCAAGACCTGCGCATTCTCGAGGGCACAGCCAGGGGACAGGTCTGGTGTCCAGGAGGCAGGTACGCCCACACAGTTACAAACTGAGAACAGGATGTGGGTGAAGGCGCTGTGCAGAAAGACCCTCACCCAGTGCAGGAGCACTCTGGTGGCCTGTGGTGGGCCCTCCGCAGAGCACTGCAGACGCCTGCTCTCTGGGTGCAGAGCCGTCCTCCTGCCTCCTCCGCTGCCGTCTGCACTGTCTCCTATGGCGTTAGTAGTCGCCATCACTTGGCTTCCCCGTGGCGGCACATGTGCTTGCACAGTGTCGACCGAAGCCTGCAGTGGGCAGCACCCTGAGTTGGGCGCCCTGCCCCAACTGTGGCTCCCAGGAGGTTGTGTCCAGAGGAGCGTGGGGCTCGGCTCAGATGCAGTTATAGTTTCTTCTTCAAGTTCATGAAAAGTGATCATTGGTTGCAAAAGCAAATCAAAGTTCTTCTCAGGCTATGTGGGAGTCCCTATGATGGATGTGCATCAGGGGATGGCTGCTTGATGTCTGCAGACTGATGCTCCTGGTGGCAGGGCCTTCACTTAATTGTGGACAGGAATCCCCGGGCCTGACGTATCTGGCCCAGGGAGCTGCTCAGCCTGCGTCTGCTGAGTGGATAAACCAGGCTCCATGCCCTGTGCTGTTAGGAGTGGGGAGAGGGTAGTGGGCAGGGAAAACAGGCTGCACACAGAGCCCTGCGCCACCTGAGTTTGTGTGACGATGCATGGGGCCCTCACACTGTCCTGACTCTGTAAATGTTCCGAGTTCTCTGCAACATTTAAGGAAAATGGCCTGTCAGCGCAGCCTGGGGACGGCTGGCCGGGCACTGCCCCGCCTGGGCCTGCTGCTGGTGTTGCCACATGCTTGTCTCTTGGACCAGACCTCTCTGTGGCCCACCCCCCACAGAGCTCCACAACATGGTGTTGCTGAGTGTTCTGGGCGCCAGGCTCCTCCCAGGGCACAGGGAGTGGGTTCTCTTCCACTCGACAGAAGGAACTGGGGCTCAGAGAGGTTTTGTGACTTGTGGAAGGTCAGCATCGCAATAGCCTGGCACCCTCTTTCCTACCTTGTCAGCAATGAAGCCCATCAGCCACACCTGGAATTCTCCACTGGCCCAGATGCACTGGGGTGACAATGGGACCAGGAGGGGGTGACTCTCCATCTGTTCCTTCTAACTTTGTGTAAATTGTCTCTTGCAGAAGCATGTTGTGGAGACATTTTTTGGATTTGATGAGGAGTCTGTGGACTCAGAAACGCTGTCAGAGACCTCCTACAACACAGACAGGACGGACAGGACCCCAGCCACTCCCGAGGAGGACTTGGATGACGTAAGCAAGCAGCATTGGCTCCTGCAGGACTTCCCACCTTGACGTTCTCTGGGCCACTTCCTCGCCTGGAGCTTAAGTCCCAGATGAGGGAGGTTAACTTTGTGTTATCAAAGCCCCAGAACCAAGGGAAGGAGGTCCCCCACTGTCCTTGAGGGGCCACCTGCATGAGTGGCTTGTGGGGCTGCCCTTCCTTTCCCCAGTGCTGATATCACCCAGGAATCTGTGGCTGCCAGGGCTCAGCTACATGTGCCCATGTCACCCTGGTCTGCTCCCCTTTGTAGTTAAAATTGCTGTGTGATGTCCTGTCCCCCTACCACATACTCCCCCCCCACCACCACCTCAGGAAGCAGTGGCCTCGCCTTTGGGACAGAAAAGCAAAAGCATCATGGTAGGAGAAACCCCTGAACTCCCCAGGGTGTGAAGGGAGTGGAAACCTCTGAAGTCCCCACCCAGTCGCCCGCGCCCTTCTGACCACCTGTGCCCGCGCAGGTCCATGGCTTCCCTGCAGAGCCCCCCCGCCCGCAGCTGAACCCCCTCAGGAGAGCTGCGCAGTCTTGCAGACCCCGTGGGTTTCTGGGCCTTCAGTGACAGGAGTCGTCGTTTCCAGCGGTGCTCCTTAGTCCAGCGTGGGCTTCCCTGCCCCACTGGCCAAGCCCTCTTCCATCTCTCCTCCCTGCAACTTCGGTGCCTTTTGTCCCAAGCTTGGGCTGGAGCCTGAGGAAGGAGAGTTTGGGCAGCCACAGGGAGCAGCTGGCCCCTGAAGCAGTGACCTCTGGCTGGGGCAGGTGGCTGCTGCCTCTCTCATGGCAACTTCCCTGAGTTTTCAAAGTCCCTCTCGCTGGAACTGCCCCTGTGCAGCATGGGCATTGCCCCTCCTGGCACCTCAAACCCCAGACTCTGGGCAGCTGTCTCCCACAGAGTCCTGGGCAGGGTCCTTTTCCCTCCTGGTGGCCTTTTCTATGGAGTCCCTTCTGTTACGACTTCCAGGCTCACTTCCACCATGGGTCCATGTGGCCACAGGAAAACTTGCTGTGAGCTGTGGGAACTGGCACATCTGCCCCCAGGGAGGCCCTCCTCTTTGTTCTGCCACTTTGTACCAAAACTTCAGAAGATGTGTGTCACCTCTCCAAGTGACGCCCCTTCTCTTGCTGGGAAGAAGACACAGTCCTCTGCATTAGCTCACCAGCCTCAGCTGCAAGTGCTGGCCGTGGTTCGGGGGTTGGGGCTGGCTGTGCTGGAGACACTGTGGTTTGTGGCTGTGTCCTGCTTGGGTGTCTGGGTGGCTTTGTTTTGGGCCAGGTGCCTTTGTCCCAATGCTGAGTCTCATTTTTTACATCCTGCCGCATTAACTTAAACAGAAGTAGCCAGACACGGCCTTTGTGACTGGCTTTTTCCAACCAGTGATAGTGACAGACCTCTTTCAGCAATAAAATATGTGACTGTGTCACCCATCTTGTGGCCCATGGGCCTTGCATGTGGGTGCACATCCAGTGTTTAGCAGGCTCTGATTATGGTACCGTGTGGTTTCAGTCCTGCACAGCTGTAAGCCACACTCCGACGCTCCCTGGGTGTCTGCATCTTTGCATGTTCACCCAGGAGGGTGGGCCAGAGGAGGTGCCCTCCAGGTGTGAGTGGCCTGCTCTGTGTTTGGTACCCTTGCCCTTCCGACCTGCTGGTATACGACTCTGGTTCCCAAGGCCAGGGAGCTCCTGGAAAGGGCACTGATGGTAGAGAAGGCATCTCCCTGCAGCCCTCCACCCTGGGGTCCTAACTACTTCCTAGCAGTGACAGCTCTGAGCACCCCTGGGCAGAAGCTGTGAGATCTGGCTTGGATTTTGTCTGGTGCTCAGAGTTACATTAAGTCACATGTTGAGTAGTTTTTCTTCTCCGTTGTGTTAAGACCACGACCAGAGAAGAGGCTGACCTACGGTTCTGCCAGCTGACCCGGGAGTACCAGGCCCTGCAGCGGGCCTATGCCCTGCTTCAGGAGCAGGTGGGGGGCACGCTGGACGCCGAGCGGGAGGCCCGGGTGAGTGCAGCGGTCTCAGGCTGACCAAGCCGGGTGGGTCTGGGTCCTGTGTGTCCCTTCCAGTGGAGGAGATTCTGGGGTGATGGGCATGCGTGGCAAGGTCTCACGTGGAGGTGTTCCTCAGTGAGGCTGCAGGATCTCAGGAGCCTTGAGTGGCCAGACGTGTCCTGTCTGCATGACAGCTCCTCCATGCACAGCAGAGTGCTTTTTTAAGACCAGAGACAAGGCCACAGACTTGGCTAGCCCTGTAGTCTGCAGGCCAAGGACCCCAGCACATCCCTGAGGAGCACTGTGGGAGCTCCCCAGCCCGCAGGCACAAGGGCCGGGGGCCACCTCAGTCCAGGCCATGTGTCCCTCTTCCAGAAACTTCCTCCCCTTGGCCCTTCTGCCACCTTGGAGTCCCATAGATCAAGATTTGTTTGCCCTTTTAAGAGTAAGGGGGACACCTAGAGAGCTCACGCCAGGGCCCCGTTTCATTCCCTCAGTGGCCTGAAGCAATCCACGCTGTCTTCTGACTGAGGAAGCTGAGGCTCAGAAAATTCAAAGGTACCCAGAAGGTCCCTGGCAGAGCTCAGGGGTGTGGCCAGGCTTCTCAGGCTCAGAGTATGCTCTGAGCACTTTTTGGGAGTCCCAGGCAGGTGGCTGTGGGCCGTCTTATGGGGACTTGCCGAAATTGGGTGTTATCTGGCAGGCCTCTTGTGGATGGCAGCTGCCGGTAGGAGCAGCCACTTGAAAATGGGGCCAGGGCATTTGGGGAGGGAGCAGTGGCCCTCTGGGGAGGGGTGGGAGCAGGAGTGAGGGCAGTGAGGTCGCTGGGGAGGGGAGCTCTTGGGCCACATAGGGCTCAGTCCTTCTCCCCTAGGTCGGAGCAGGTGAACTGCAGGGCTTTATTTGAGCAGAATTGTTAGTGTTTTCTTTTTTAATGTCAACTACTTCAAATTGTGGAGATTTCAGAGAGAAATCCAGATTCCCGACATCTCTTGAAAGACAGTTTGTGCTGTAGTACCCGGCTCTCATCCCACAGGGCACTGGACTGCAGCTGAGGGGCAGTCTCTCTGGGGCTGGGGGTCACATCCTCCAGTTTGCCACAGTCCCCACCATTCCTTCTTGCCCCAGTCAGCTTCCCATATTTACATGCCTGCCTGGCCCTGCAGACATTGGGGTTTTCAGCCCTTTCTGTAGGTGGCAAAGGGCCCACCTACAACTCAGCAACTCAGCACGTAGGAAAGCCCTGGTGGCTAGTGACTGCTGAAAGGGCAGATGCTGGCCTTGGGCAGAGAGCTGGGGCTGGGACCTGGTGTGCCTGGCTCCCACCTCCTTGTGTGCGAGCTGGTGGAGCTTAGAGCCGCCAGCTCTCAAGACCTTCAGTTCCTCATGGCGCTGGGTTGGCAGCTGGTGTTGGCAGCTGGTGTCGACCCCCAGTGCCACCAGGAGGGCCAAGTTTGAATATGCGCTATTGAACCCAAGCCTGTCCCCAGCTCTGTCTGTATGGCAGCTGGGTTATACTCCTCTGTCACCTGTGTGAGGGGACCTGCTCACTTCCTGGTCTTTGTTGTTCTAGACTCGGGAGCAGCTGCAGGCTGATCTGCTGAGGTGTCAGGCCAAAATCGAAGACTTGGAGAAGTTGCTGGTTGAGAAAGGACAGGTGAGCAGGCCTGGTCATGTGTTTGTCTTTGTCCCTGTGGCAGTGTCCTCGAGGCCTGCCTGTGTGCTGAGACAGTGTTCTGTGAGCCACATGCAGGCTCCTGGAGGGCGAGATAGAATCCAGCTAGAGTGCGCTGCCGAGTCAAAAGAAGGAAAAAAAAATCAAAGCACGTTTAATGGAAGTCTGACTGGCCTTCCCTTCGTTTGTTTGCCAAATGTGCAAAAATAGGAGACAATTCCAAAAACAGAGTGGGGATCAGAACCCTTTTTGACTTGAGCCGAAAAGGCTCAGTGTGGAAACCTTGCCTCTTTGAGAGTGGCGTAGGTCCAGAGCTCAGTATGGTGGCTGTGCTGTTAGAAAAGTGCTATTGGGTTTGTAGACAACCAGAACCTCTTGGGGGCTTAATGTGAAGACACTGACTTCCTGCTTGCATCCCTGCCTCCACAACTCTGCCCCACCTTACACAGAGGGTCATCTGCTCCATGTGGCTCCTCAGTGATCCAGTAAGGGAGGCCGCCATCTTGTAACTGCTCTTTCTAGGACTCCCCTCCACTTGGCAGGAAGAGACTGTTTGTTCTCTCAGCATAATTCACTGGCCCAAACCAGTCATGTGTCCCTGCTGGGTATGTGTGGCCGGTAGGGTGTCTGTGCCACCATCTTCACATGGATGGGCTAAGGAGGGGCCTGGGGCCTGGAAAAAGGAAGGCAGGTGTGAACTGGAGGGGTGGTAGAGGTGTAGGGGACCCTAAGAGGAACTCCAGGAGAGGTATAGAGCAGATGGCCAGCTCTGAACAGTCTCCAGTTAGCAGCAGGGCTCTGGGTGTGGCTGAGATTCAAAGTAAGCCATCAGAACTCAGGTATGGCACCAAGCAGACCAGGCAGCAGCCTTTATGAATGGCTGAGTAGCGGTGTGAGGGCACCTGACGCCCAAGAGTGGATCCAGGGAGTTGTGGTCTCTCCTTCTCCCTGGAGGCATCATGGTGGTGCAAAGCATACACCCTGGAGCCAAGTACCAGCTCTGTCAATTACTTGTCACAGGATCTTGGGCAAGTTGCATAATCTCCGTGCCTCAGTTTCCTTTTCTTTAAAATGGGCTGATGATACTACTTAACACACTGGGTAAGAGGAAGTAGGGAGACCCAGAAGTCTGACGTTGAGGCTTCCTCAAATTCCTCTCCAACTTCCCACTGACCCCAGTTTCCCTTCTCCAGTCTGAGGTTGTGTGGTGGGATTTGCCTCAGCTCAATGAGGGAGGTGCAGAAGGGCAGAGGCAGCCCAGACACAATGGCAAGTGAGGAGGTCGAGAGAGGGCCAGAACAAAGGAGCACAGAGAGGACCTTCTAATGAGGTCAACTTCCTGCTTGACGAAGGTGCTCATGGACACAAGTGGGGGACCCAATCAGCCAGAGACTTTTGTACTTATGCTCCTAGGTGTGGGATCTAATATAAAACTAAAATAGATGTGTAGACACAGGGTGCTCCAATCAATAGTGAGGAGTATATGGACAGAGGAGATGCTAAGGAGAGGAGGAAGTTCCAGAAACCATAAAAAGAATAGGCCAAAACTCCCCACCAGACTACTGGCTCCAGGGCCCCTTCTCTCTGGAGAGTCTGTCTCCATTGCTTTTGCAAAAAAGCTTGCTGCTCACTTGCTGTCTCTGTGTCCTACTCTTCGCTGAGCAGAGACAATGAACCCAGCACCCCAGAAGGTAGCAAGACATTCTGGCCGACGTTGCCTCCCACCCTGTGGTGTTGGATCTGGTGTTTGTGCTCAGTTCTTCCCTCAGTGCCTGCTGAGAGAAGGGGCCCATTTGGAGACAAAATGAATTCTCATTCAATCAGCCAGTGTTCATCAGAGCTCTTGCACTACTCCAAGCCCTGCACTTGGTGCAGAGGAGAATGTATCAGTTTGCTATTGCTATGTAACAAACCACCCCAAAACTTAGTTATTTGAACAGCAAAAGTGTCTTATTCACTTCTAGTTCTGTGGATTGATAGTTTGGGCTGGACTCAGCTGGCTGGTGGTCCTGCTAATCTTGCCTGCGGTCAGTCTTGAGGCTATAGTGGTTAGGCAGATCTCCTGGGGCTAGAAGGCCTGGGATGGCCTCATTCTCTTCTTGCCATTTGTGTCAGCTGAGGCCTCAGGGAGGAAACCTGACTTTTTTACTTGGTGGCCTGGGGGCAGGAAAAAAGAATAAGCCCCCTGTATGAGTACTTACCAAGCCTCTGTTTATATCACATTTGTCCCAGTAGCCAGGCCATGTCACAGCCAAGCCCAGCTTTAAAATTGGAGAAGTAGGCCCTACATCTTGTTGGGAGGAGCTGCAAAGTCACATTGCAGAGGGTGTAGCAGAGAGATGGAGGGGAAGCTTCAGCCACCTTCATAAACAACCTGTCATGAACAAGAAGGCAAAGGGACAGCTGACAACACTGTGCCTATGTGAGGGTCAGTGGTGGTGTAGGATGAGCAATGTTAGGTCCAAGGGAACCAGGAGGAGCCAGGGCCTTTTCTGGACATTCCATGGCATGGGATCAGATCCCATGTTGGGCCTTGGCTTCAAAGCATCCTGGAATACAAGCGCTGGTGGGCCTGGCCTGCTGGGAAGGGACCTCGCCCAGTTCCAGCCCTGCTGCTGACCAGCTGAGAGGCGGGGAGCTGGAGAAGGCTTCCCTTGCCCTCGTGTAGTCGCCCCTCCATCCCCATGATGCTTGCTGAGTGCCAGCTCTGCCTGTCTGGGGATGCCCCAGAGTCAGGACAGACTCCATGCCCTGTGCTCGCGGCCTACTCACATGGGAGCTGGCTGGGCAAGTGATAGAAGGACTGTGGACTGGCATGGCTGTGGGCACGGGCTGGCCTTCAGGTGTGGAGCCGCTCCTTTACCTGGCAGGGTGGACGCGCACCTGTGGGGAGCCACTCAGGGGAGACAGGTCTCACTCCCCGCTGCTGCTCTTTCTTGGGTTAGGGTTAGAGGTAGGATGCGCTCATGCAGGCGTGGTCTTTTCTTGGAAGGTGACCTGCCCCAGTGCAGTGACTCGTTTGTTGCTTTCCTGCAGGATTCCACGTGGGTGGAGGAGAAGCAGCTGCTCATCAGAACAAACCAAGACTTGCTGGAAAAGGTATGTGGCCTGCTTCAGGGTCACAGGCTGAGGCCAGCCCGTGTGAGCCCATTCCATGCTCTGGGTACATTCCAGGGACCAGGGCACCTCTCATGAGAAGAGGCCTCTGCTCTGGGCCTACAGAGCTGACAGAGGAGCCACTCCCAGGTCCCCTGCAGAAGTAGGGAGGCTGGCCCCAGCTCCCAAATTGGACACCCTGGCTACCTCTGCCATTGCTCTGGGATTCCAGAGGCCCTGATCATTGAGCAAGTCCTCAGACCACCTGAGCCCAGGTCAGTTGACCCTACTGGGAGCTGAGCCTCTGACCTGCCCTCTCTAACCATAGGCCTTGCTGGAGCTCTCCAAAGAGTTTGCATGGGGAGCAGACCAGATGCTTTGGGATTAAGACTGTAGCCTCTCCCTTAATTTATTTAGGTACTACGGATTGAACCCAGGGGCATTTAACCAACCCATATTTGCAGCCATTTATTTTTATTTTGAGATAGGGTCTCACTAAGTTGCTTAGAACCTTGCTAAGTTTCTGAGAGTGGCCTTGAACTTGGAATCCTCCTACCTCAGCATCCCCAGTTGTGGGGATTGTAGGCATGTACCACTGGACATGACTCCCCGCCCATTTTAAAAAGTAAATTACGAGTTGTGCCACCATTTCCCTAATACGGGTTTAGAAGAGTTTCATCCCCATGAAGACTCCCAGCTCAGTTGCAGTCACTCCCAGTCCCACCCCTCATGCCCCTGCACCCACTAGTCTGCTCCATAGGTTTCCTCTCCTGGATGCTACAGGTGAGTGCCATCAGGCCCTTGGCGGGCTTTGCCCTAAACATCTGAGCGCAGGACAGGGTGAGCTGGCCTTTTCCCATGGGAGGCCAGGTCAGCTGCACCCTGCTGCCCACTGCTATGTGGTGTTTGCTAGCTCACTGCCTCATTTTCTGGAGGCATTTGGGCAGGACTGTCAGTGTCATGGGAGGCAGTCCTGTGTGTCAGGGGAGTTCAGCATTCTTGATTGTGCTTACTAAGTTCTGGGAGCTGCACAAAACACCCACACAGGTTCCACATGTGCCCCAGAAGAGAGCCCTTGTGTGGACCTCCTTACCAGGAAGAGGGAGGACACGGGGATCAGGGGTGCCACTCTGAGGCCTTCCCCAAAGCCCTCACCACGTGTGTTGTCACAGTGGCCCCTCACTGCTGCCAGGCGATGGGCGCTGCCGTACCTTCTTGGGCAGAAACAGGCCCAGGACACTTCTGTTGTAACTCATCTGTGTCTCTGGCTGTCTTGCTTCCCAGACTGCTGTGCTCTGGGGGTGACCACTGACTGCCACACAGACTTCTTAGGAAGGCTTGTCAGAGAGTCAGACAGACAGCCGTGCTCTGCTGCAGCCTGCAGGGCCGTCCAGGTGGGCTGACCCTGGGGGATTGGGCTGGAAAGACCTCGGACAGCCTTTGGGAGCAGAAGCTTTGGCGTGGCACTCTTGCTTCTTGCCCCTTGACCTCAGGGCAGGGTCTCCGGGGCTCTTTGCCTCAGCTTCCCAATCATTCATTTGTTCAGCAAATATGTCAGCAGTTTCTGGTCTGCACCTTCCTGGACGCTTGCCGCAAAGTCTGCCCCATGGCTGGTTCCCTGTCCTCCTCAGGCCACCATTGAGGTGGCCCACGATCAGGGGACCTGGTTTGAGGTGGCAGCTGCTGCTGCCCGTTAATGCACAGGTGTCTTTGCTCTAGATTTACAGGCTGGAAATGGAGGAGAACCAGCTGAAGAGCGAAATGCAAGATGCAAAGGATCAGAACGAGCTGTTAGAGTTCAGAGTGCTAGAGCTCGAAGTAAGAGACTCTCTCTGTTGTAAGCTCTCAAACGGAGCAGACATTCTCTTTGAACCCAAACTGAAATTCATGTAAAGCTCCCTGCCGTTCCCAAGCATGTGTGAAGGGACATGTTAGCGTTTCTCTCCTTCCTTCCTTCCTTCCTTCTTTCTTTCTTTTTTTTCTTTTCAATCTGTATGTTCAGAATAATTTCACTGCCTTAACGTGTTCTGGAGAGGGTGCTCGCCGAAGTCTGTGGACCTGTACAGAGCTAATATATTTATTGCCTACGGCTTGTTTTGCACTTAATAAAATAATTTGTTTTTGCAATATTTTGCCTTTTTTATTTGTGTTTCATTGCCATAACTACTTCTTTCCTGCATGCATAGTCACTGGGTCTGCACTGTGCAAACCTGGACAGAAGCACTGTTGCAATTAATAACACACCTTTGTAAATGATCTTGCATGCAGCACATCTCACCTTTTGAAATAGCAGAGTCTGACCCAGCCAGCTGTTGACTCTCTAATGTGTTTAAAGCCAGTTTGGGCCCATTTTCTATTTGCAAGTTAAATACAAGGTAAGTAAGGCAGGGTAGGAGGATGTGTCTGCAGAGATGGTTAAGAAAAGGAGTTACTTGCTCAAATTTTTTCAGTAAATACAGACCCAGGCACCACAGCAATTTGGACTAAAGAAATTATTATTCATAACTCCAAATATGACTCAAAGTGGCTGGAAGGAGATTGAATGCTGCTCACAGGTAGAAATTGTGTTCCTCCAGGAACTCCCCAGTGCACCAAGTGGGACTCAGTAAAAGAATATTGATGGTTTAATTGCTTCCAAGAGAACTCTTGCCTTGGTGTGTTACTGTATTGCCTTGCTCTCACGGTATTTCATAACTCCCTTTTGTTTCTGTTTAAAAGTCATCGGCATCTTAAACATCACTTAAGTTTGTGACAGTTTCTCTGAGCTCTCGTAGTGATGCGGCTCTGCTTCCCCCAGCTGACCCTTGCATGTATGAAACCTCAGTGGAAGTGAGTGCCTCACGGTGTCTGTGGCTTTTCTGATTTTGTTTTCTCCTCCTGCTTGAGTTGAATTCTGTTCGCATTAGAACTGACCAGTTGGACCTTGTCATGATGGCAAGGCCTGGGCCAAGAGTCCCTCAGCACCAAGTGCTACTGCTACTCACTCTCCCTAGACCTGAGTGTTTTATTCAAGTGACAGAAATCAGAAGTCATGTGAGGTCACCATTGGTGCCTCTGCCATTGTTAGAAAACTGCACATATCCTTGTCAGGAGCCTTCCTTAAAAGAACTCCATAAGCACTGCTTGGTTTACTAGGATTTCCATCTCCCTCAGAATTCAGAGCCATTGGGAACCACTTTTCTGACTTGTACTCTTATCCATTATGATCTTCTTGGATCACTTTCCTATGGAGACTCCATTTAAATAAGTATTGCTGGTAGAATGGTGTCCAAGGAAGTGAACCATGGTGAATTTTGTTCTTGGCTCCTAGGACTGTTCCAGACCTAGGCTAGCTGGGTGGGGCTTCCTGGAAATTCACTGAATTAATAGCCCCTTCGTCTTCCCTTCAGCCTCTCAGCAGCGCGCTGAGACATGCCGCTGACTTTGTGCTTGGTTATTTAGATAGTGCCTGCCTCACAAGTTTGCATGGCGTCAGTCGGCACAGTGAGGTGCCTGGCACAGAGGGACACACCACAGCTGGTAGCTTTTGTTCTTCATTGAAATTTAGTTCAAGTTGAATTTTTAAAGGAGTCCATTGGTTCTGTAGTTAGATTCTGCTAAAATGCCCCAAAGTAAGTTATTATTACCATTCTATAATTTGAATCAAACAAAAGCAGTTTACTTAGGGTGTGATTTGAAAGGGTCTTCTCAGCCTGTGCTGGAGGTCTACAGTCAGCTCTGTGAAGGAAACACATTTGAGACCAGGGTCCTGTCGAACCGGTATACTTTGTCCCCATAAGTACACCCAGGCTTGTCCTGACCTTTCTGAAACTTGTCACTTGGTGTATGACTAATAAGCCCCTCTTCTGGGAAAATACTTCCTTCATAATTGAGATTTGACAGTAAATCTTAAGGCTGGGCAGAACTAAGATCATTGGTTGTGTTAGAGTGGGTCAAAAAGAATTGTGAGCAGAGCCAACAGATTATACTGGAAAGAAAGTGAAGGCAGGGCTGGGCCTGACTCTGTCATTCACTAGAAAAGGGCCTGGGACTCGGCCTTCCCGAGCTGCCATTTCTGTCTGCAAAAAAAGAACATTGGTGTCAGGCTCTCAAGGTTGCATGGGAACCCGTCAGCACACTGAGGTGCCTGGCCCAGAATGACACACACCACACCTAGTGGCTTTTGTTGCCCATTGAAATTTGGTGCAGTCGCTTTTATCAAATTTTGTAACTCTGTGACTTCCTGGTTTTTAGTCTTGCAACCAGAAGACTCATGAGACCCTGCTAACCATTTCTTCCTAGCTGAGTGGTAAGAGGTAAGCCAATGTGCAGAGACAGTCTCCCGCCATGGAAGACGAAGATGTCCCACTCACGGAGGAGGACTGTGCGGTCTGCGTGTGCGCTGTAGTCACACCTTTGCCGACCGGAGCGCGTTGGTTTTTGCTGATAACATGGGAAAATGGCAAGTGGTAAATAATCCAATTGAGTTCTGTCTTTAAACCGAATCTTTTCCCCAGGAGAGAGAGCGGAGGTCGCCAGCCTTTAACCTCCAAATCACCACCTTCCCCGAGAACAACAGCAGCGCCCTCCAGCTGTTCTGTCACCAGGAAGGAGTTAAGGTAGCGTGCGTGGGGGGGCCTCCAGCGAGCTGAGGCCACAGGCTCGCTGAGTGCCAGACTGGTGAAGGGGGATTGTATTCTGGGGCCAAGAGCAGAATTTATTGTAATGAGATAGCCCTTGGCCTCTACCCTGTGTTGAAAGGCAGTGAGATCACCTTAGGGGGTCACCAGGTGTTACCCTGTTTTCCTCCATTTCTGGGATATGGGCTTACTGCAAACCCCAGCCGCCACTGCCCGGCTCTAGCCTGGAACCTCCCTGAGCCTCAGTCTCTGGGCAATGAATTCCAGATGGCAGTGCTCCTACATCGAACTAGAGTGATCATGAAGTTAGATAAAGAACAGACAAAGTGCTTGGCACAGTGCCTGACACTAGGAAGTACCTTGCAGTGGCCACTGTGGTGGTTATAATGGCCAGCATTTGCCACATACCTTAAGCCCTGCTAGGGCCTGCGGGCCATGGCCTTCCGACCCACACATTCCACAGGCCTTTCTAGAAAGTGGTGTTTATTCTGGTGTAAAACTCAGCCAGTAAGTCGCAGCTGCACCTTCTCTCCTCTCTCCCCAGAGGAAAAGCTAGAGGCAGGACTCGCCCTCTGTAGGCACCAGGAGAGGACGGGCGCGGTCCGTCCACACGCAGGGTGTAGCTCTGGGAATTGGTGTGGATGGTCTCTGCTGCTCACACAAAAATGAACGTTGGAAATCTCTTCCAGGATGTGAATGTTTCTGAACTTATGAAGAAACTAGATATCCTTGGCGATAACGGGGTAACTATGAGCAATCCGTTTCCGGTTCGTGTTCTTGTTTTGATCTGGGCGTATTCTGTGTGGCTTTTGTTTTGTTTTAATTTCTCTCTAGTTTTAGAGATCTAATAAGTACAATGTAAGGCTTTTGTATGGCTATGTTCCTGTGTGGGTGGTTGGGTCTGAATCTGTCAGAAGTGGGATTCCAAAGTGAGGTTGCCCTTACAGCCTGTGAGTAACGAGAGACAAAAAGCCTAAGGACCAGTTCCCAGAGAGGAGGTGGGCGCACCACAGGTGGCTGAAGTCAGAAAGTGACACTTTGCCTTCCTAAAGATCAGCTTGAACGGGGCACTGATTCTTGAAGTCTTAAATCTCAAAGGCAGTCCCAAGGCAGGTGGCTCCTGTCCCTCTGAGTGGGGACTGTTCACTGTGAAGTCCAGAGGGACAGGAGCTCTCTGCCTTGAATCGCTGACCCCGTTAGTGAGTGGGGTTGACCCCTGGGGTACGGCTCAGAGTGGAGCCTGGTGCTGTCTGCCCGTGGATTGGGATCCAGTGTAAAATGCCCTTGCCCATTTTTCTGTTTTAGAATTTGAGAAATGAAGAACAGGTTGCAATAATCCAGGCTGGAACTGTGCTTGCCCTGTGTGAAAAGGTAGACCCAGCGGCATTTCTGTGCTCACACCTTGTCCCAGCACCCAGCACCATACAAGAAACTGTACATTGGTGTCTCGCTTGTTTGGGAGCATGTGTGTCGGTCAGTCTGCTCTGCATGTGCACATGCATGCCTCTTCACGTTCTGATGGAAAGCCATACACCACATGCCCATGGTAGAAAAGGCCAGACTGCAGGAGGGACCGACACCCCATCAAGGAAGCAGTGGGTGATGCGTATGCTGCCTCCGGCTTTCTCCCACTCCCGTTTTCTTAGCTTAGTTGAAATCTTACTTAGCATCCAGCTCTTCATCCTGCTTTACAAGACATTCTAAATGGCTCACAAACATGCATCTCGACAGCTCTGCCTCCTTCTGTCCTATGGTTACACTGTAGAGAACATCCTCTGCCGTCAGCTGCTGGGCTGTCCACTCTACCTCTGTTTGCCATCATACCCTTAGTGGTGGACACCATTACACATAGATTTCTGTGCATTTGAGAACTGACCACAGGACAGACTCTAGAAGTGGAATCCTGAGGCAATTGAAGGGCTCTGGCAATGTCCAGGTGGCTTCCAGAGAGGGGCACCAGTGACCCTCCTGTCGATTTCATGCTCAGCGTGGTGTTTTACCACAGAAAAGAAAACTCAATTTCATGGCTAGAAACGTTATGACGTCATCATGTCCTTCTCATTTATCTGGGTGCTAGTGGTAGTGGACGTTTTGATGTGTATTGCCTATTTTGTTCTACTTTCTTGCGAGTTGTAATTACATTTGTTTGAGGATTTATTTTCCTCTGGGTTTGTTTGTTCGTTCGTTTGTTTATTCATTCATTCATTCATTCAACAAATAAGTCTTTGTTGTAATTGTTTCTCTTACTGACTTGCCTATGTGCTTTACATATTAAAGATATTAACTTTTTGACCTTTTATTTTAAAAAACGCCTTCCTGACTTGTCTGCCTTCTACACTGGTTTAGAATGTTTTTTTCAGTGCACACTGCTCAAGGTAGTCCTTCCTGTCTGTGGATCTTATTCCTTCCAAAGCACACGAGTGAAGCTTTAAAATGCTGCTTTCGAGTAGCGTTTTTGGTGAGGCCTTACTGCTCTTAATCCAGATTCTTTCCAGAATCTCTGGAAGGGCATTTAAAATATGGTTTTCTTCCCCGGTGTTTTTCCATCACCCACACCCCTTCCCCTCAACAAACAAGTAAAGGGAACTAAAGGTTGGTGGCAGACTTAGGCAATGCCTTGCCCCTGGTCACACAGTCGGGAAGGGCGATGCAGGTGTGGAACCCGGCTTTTTCTGGCTCCCATCTCTCCATCTGGCTGAGCTTGCTCCCTCCAGGGAACAGGACTGAGGATGGCTCAGGGCCGGCTGGTGGGCTGACGGGAGGCGGGTTCCTGGGCTGAGTTGGGCACATTCAGTGCACCCTTGTCAGCAAGACTGAACGTGTCCAGCCTCATGTAGCAGGGCTCCATAGAGTAAAGTGCTGGTGAGTCACTGGACTCAGTTCCTTCAACACTCATTGCAAGATTTACTGAGAAGGTTCTTCCAGGCATGAGGGCTTCGATGGCCCGCATGGGGTGGAGGTGCCCTCTGCTAGATGCTGCCTCTGTGAGGCCTTCCTGGCTTTGATCTTGTCCCCCCACTTGCCAGCTTCAGTCTCCTGGAGATGCAGCATGAGAGTCCTGGTGCCCTGCTGGTTCGTGTCAGGATCCAGGACACCCTACTTAAGCAGAGTCCAGTGTGGCTAAGCCCTAGCACTGGGCTTAGTTCCTAGAGGCACTTGGGCAATGCCTGTGGACTGGTGGACTGGGGTGGCTGGTTCGCAGTGGGGCTAGTGGTGGGCGTTGGTGGGCTGCTGTTCCTAACCCTCGGCTGCCTGAAGGCCAAGGCTGCAGAGGTTCAGGGCCTTGCTGGGGCACTAAGTCACTCACCTGAGCCTTCCTGAAAGGCCCCTCTCATACCCTGAGGGATCAGGCGCTCTAGGCCTTGACCTTAGATCTCTGTGTCCTCTCTCAGCCTTTGCCCCACATTAGCATCTCCTGTTGACAGCTGAGGATATGGGCACTCTGACTTCTGGCTTTGACCCTTGCCATCCCTTCCCAACTCCCAGCTTAAAATATGGTTTTCTTCCCCAGGTGTCTTTCCATCACCCACATTCCTACCCCCAACACACAAGTAAAAGGCACTAAAGGTTGGTGGCAGACTTAGGCAATGCCATCCCTTCCCAACTCCCAGCTTGTACCCTCCTTGCCTCCTCCTGCTTCTTGCTAGCTGCTGCCCTGACCACCAGAACCTTTCCAAGCTTGTCAGCCTCGTGCCTCGTTTGGTGCCCTAAATGCCAGAGTGATGCCAGCTTCCCTGGCCTGCCAGCTCCTCACAGACCCCACCAGGTGTGGCAAAATAGGGACCTGTGGCTGATGTTTATGGGATCCCAACTCTGGTGCTGCCCAGAGCTGCCCAGCTCCCATTTGGGACAGTCCTTAGGGTGCAAACTCCGCTGTTTTCTCAGTTCAGGATCCTGGAGACATCAACCAGGCCATTTTTCTGTGAATAAAGGTCAAATTGGTTTGGGAATTACTGTGTATTACTACTTGGGGGAATGTTCAAGAAGATAAACAGGCCCTGGGCAGGGTGGGAGCTGGGTCGGCAGGTCCCCTGAGAAGGCCAGCAGGACAGCTGGGTGACCAGCAATCCAATTTGCTTGGGACTGAGGTGCATCCTGGTCCTGGGAACTTCAGTGTTAAAACAGAGACAGCTGGGGGCAAACAGGGACAAATTGGTCACCCTAGAGCTGACATTGCAGAGAAGGTCATAGAGAATGTGGGTCTCTGCAACACCACTGTCAGACAAGACTTGGTCACAAGTGCCAGGCAAGCCCCTTCCTACCAGATACACCTCGTTTTAAAAAGGTGTTCTTCAGTGCAGTGCTGGGACCCAAACAGACCACAGTCCACTTCAGTTTTCTCTTAGAGGCACATAAGTGCAGTGCAGACTCAACTGGTCAGGAGCAGCATAGGATGGCATCTTCCCTGGGTGTGTGCCCCACTCCTAGCAGCCAGCACTGGGCACAGACTTTAAGGTGCAGGCCAGCGATCTCCCCAGTCCTGGCCCCATGGCTTACTCACTTTGGCACATGGCATGTGCCCCACAGAGAGGCTCAGGCATAAGACATTTGTAGGCATGTGGGTCATCCCCAGGTCTGCCTCTTTGCCTTCAATTTCAAAACTGATCACGAAGTAGACAAAGGACTCAGAAAGACAGAAATAATGAAAAATCTATGTCCCCTCTGCTAACATAAGGGTTAGAGAGTGATGTGTGGGCCTGCAGCCGCAGTCCAGCTGTCTAATCACTGAATCTGTCAAAGTCGTGGGACCCTCTCTGGAGAGAGAGGAGGAGATCAGCCCACCAGCTGCAACGGGTCCTGGCCTTGCACCTGAGGAGCCCCAGGAGCTGGCTTTGGACCTGTGACTGCTGGAAGAGGACACCCAGCTCCTTGCAGCACTCAAGTGGCAGGTTTGCCTCCCCTGTGAGATCTCTCTGCTGGGGGTTGAGCAGAGCCATGAGCCTGGAGGGTCTCTGAGGTGTCAGCGAGGCTCAGTAGAGATCTGGTGGTACTCTGGTGTATTCCTGATCTCCACGGGCCAGGAATTCAAGGCCAGCTTTCTCTGCCCTCCTGGGACTGGCCCGGTGACTAAAAAGGACCTGTAAAGATTTTCCTTTATAAGCAACGTAAGCACCTAATATACATCTATATTTAACAATAACCATTACCTGACAGCGGGCTCTACAGAGTACTCTGTGAGAGCAGCTTGTGGTAATGATACAAACAGGAAATGCTCACCATTTTAGTTCTAGTTGTTTCTGATTGCCTGCATTAGGACATTAAATAAGCCCACCTATTCCCATGAAGTTGCCGCTCTTGGCAGGGATTAAGGACTGCTTGGTTGGCCCCCGCTGCGGCTGCTGGCTCCAGGGCCTCTCAGGGACAAGCACTGGCATTGTTAGGGGAGATCCTAACTGTGCCTGTCCCATCTCCTTCCCTCTGTGCAGCCCGCCCACACCCTCCTCCACTCAGTAGATGTTCATTAGGCACCTGCTGCATGCCAGGCCCTATGCTGGGCAGGGAAATGCAACAGGAGTCAGATGAGGGACCTAGGGGGCAGGGAAGCTGACCACAGCATCTTCCAGGTGAGCTCAAATAAAGAGCACAAGACTCGTGACTCAGGAAACAGGGTGGGCTTCCTGGAGGGGTGAGACCAACCTGGGCCAGAAGGCTGGGTAGATGTTAGCTTGGCAAGAGCCTCCTGTTGAGGCTGGGCCTGGGAGAGGGGGGTGTTACGGGCAGTGGGAGCTACCTGAAAGGCTCTGAGGTGAGAGAGACCTTGGCTTGTCCCAAGAGCTAAATGTAGTTTTGGGGTGACCAGGGGAGTTTTGAGTGGAGATAGGAGCCTATGTGAGCCTTGTTGGGGACACACCCTGCAGGGCCCTGTAAGGGTTGTCAGGAGTGAGGGGATGTCTGGGAGGACACTGAGCAGGTGCAGGGAGGTTCCGACAGTTACGTGTGCTTTGGAGAGAAGTGCTGGCCAGAGCTTAGGAATGGCTTAGTGTGTGAGGGTGGTGGGACATGAGCCTCTGGCCAGGAGGGGGCTGGGCTGTGGGTGGTCCTGGTTGAGGAGTGCAGCAGATGGGTCTTCTTACACAGAAGAGAGGTGCCCAGGGGCCTCCCCTCCAGGGATCTGCTGAGGCCTAGCTGTGAGCCAAGATGAGGGGAGCCGTACATGGGGCACAGGCATGGATCAGAGCTGATTGGAGACTCTTCCGAGTGAGCAGAGTGTAGAGGAGGGCAGAGCTGGGGGAAGGCCAAGGGCAGGGCTCCCGCCCAGCAGAGCCAAAGTTTAGGAGCCAGAGGTCTGAGGAGGTGCAGCCAGAGAAATTCTCCAAGGAAGCTAAGGGGACCCTCAGAATCAGAAAAGGCATAGTCACCAGGCCTCCGCAGGCTCAAAGGCACTCATTTATGCCTGCCACCAACCTTAGGTACCCCTCTGTGGCTGGGACACCCCACAGTTTTCCCCTCAAGTCAATCACCTGGTGTCAGTGACTTCTCCCTCCTAGGTGGGCTCCCCATAAAGACATACCCATGCCTATATCTGTCTGCAAGCTCACTCTCAGCCTAGATCCCAGAGGGAAGCTAGAGAGGTCTCCCACCCCTTACCTGCCATTCAGGTGCCCACCCCACATTCCCAGGAAAGTCAGAGGCTCACTCTGGAACTCACCCACTCTCATGCCCTTGCACACCCACTGAGTGTATGCCCCCTCTCTGCCCAGCCCACATGCCACAATGCTTGGTGCTGGGGAGGAGGGCAGTGGCCTAGGACTTCTGCAGATAGGTTTGAAATCCTCGTTCCCCACCTGTGTGACCTTGGACAAGGTACTTAACTCAGCCTCCAAGCTTGACTTACAACACAGGATAATGCTGCCTACCTTGGGGCAGTCAGGAGAGGTTAGGAGAGGTGACATTCTGCTTCTGTGACACTAGCTGCATGAAGCTCACTTGCTCATCTTCAGATCTCCTGAGTACACACTTGCAGCCCTCCTCACGCCTGTCCACCCACGCCAAGTCCACACTGCCACACCATATGCAGGTCATCTGCACACCTACCGCCACCTTACACATGGGCCCGGCCACGTGTACACAGATGTCCTTTCCACACATACTGGTCGTGGGTATCCCTGACCAGATCCATCCTCAAGCAAACACCTTTCCATGACGCAGAAACAGACCACAAAACCTCAGATATCCAAGGGGTTCCCGTTCTCATTGGGCTGTGCCCCTCCTGTCCCTGCTATTTTCTAGTGGCTGAAGCAGATAGAGGGAACCGAGGCAGCTCTGACCCAGAAGATGCTGGACCTGGAGAAGGAGAAGGTAAAAGACCCAACCAGCTGGGGGAGGGTCCGCTGAGCTGCTCTTGGGGAGGACTTGGCGCGCGTTTCCATGATCAAGTACCTGCGTGCATTTCCAAATGTGGCCCCTGCCCTATGGCAGTCCTGAGTCATTATCATCCACCCACTTCCCCTTTCATTCACAATTGCTCACTTAAAGCATTTTTGGTGCCTCTGCTACATCCTGGACTCACAGGCCCATAGGGTCCTAGGTTCCTAGCTCATAGGAGTGTAGCCTGAGGGCTTTAGAGGCAGCTCTGACACCAGGCACTTGGCCCAGTGGCAGTGGAGACAGGCAGCTTGAATCTGTTGGCCTTGAGAGCTTGGGGACCTGGACTTGGTCTTATGGTTCCACTCTGCAGCTGGCTGAGCTGAGTGATGAGGGACACCAGGTACAGAGCCAGCTTTGCACAGTGCTTGGTACCTGGGGTAGCTGACACATGGCGGGGACAGGATGGTCTTCACAGGAGCAATGGTGGATGGCGGAGTGATTTTACCTGACTGGGGAGGTCAGAGAAGGCTTCCCAGGAGACATGGGCCTTGAATTCTCCAAGAACCATTTGATTATCCAAGTAGAGATGGCAGGTGAAGGAGGGAGGTGGCTGGACTCACTCTGGAAGCAGTGTGTGGCAGGGAAGAGCCCTGGGCAGGTGCCAGGAGGCCTGGAGTTGGAGTGCAATTCCTGCCACTAGTGAACTGTGGCAACTAGGACAAGGCACTGGCCCTGTTTCCTCGTCTATAAAATGAAATGGCTGCCGATGATGATGACCTCCAGCCAGGAGCTCTCCATTCTGGACAGATCACACCTGGGGGGAGTCAAGGACCCAGAGGGTGGGGGAGAAGCTGTGGCAGGCAGAGTGGCCAAGAGGTGGGGACGCAGCCCAGGAGGGAAGGGGGGGCTGCTGGGCCACGGCCAGAGGAGCCTGGAAAGACTCCTGAAATCTGGGCTTGGGCACTTGGTGGGAGGTGGTGTCCCGCCACCATAGCTAGATGCCCAAGAAGAGGGGAGGCCAGTTCCATGACCGCTGCTGTCCAGAAAGGGCAGCAGACAGCTCTACCCAGCCACACATCATGGACTCTTGCTCTGACCTCCCCCTGACAGGCGCCTCCCTCTTTTCAGGACCTGTTCAGCAGGCAGAAGGGCTACCTAGAGGAGGAGCTGGACTACAGGAAGCAAGCCCTCGACCAGGCTTACCTGGTAGGACCGGAAGTGGGTTTGACACTTTGGCTTTTTGGACTCCACATTAGAGGCTGCTTTCTCCTGGGGGTTGGTGCTGTTTCCTCATTTAGGGCCCTTACTGGGGCTGTGGGGAGGGGAGATATCACACCATCTTCACATTGTGACTAGAAAGACCTGCAGGTGGCTGATTTTCAAAATCCATCACAATTTCAAAAATTATCAGTTACCTTGATGGCTTCTTGAGATAAGCTTATTAAATTCTAGTAATCATTTGATATAAACAAAAAGAAACTGATTTTTTAAGCTTTCTTTATCTTTTTTATTTTGTTTGCTTATTTTATGTGGTGCTGAGGATCGAACCCAGTACTTTACATGTGCAAGGCGAGTGCTCTGCCACTGAGCTACAATCTCAGCCCCAAGAAGAAACTGTTTTCTGTGTGTTTGTTTATACTTAAATATTTATTTATGCTTAAAATCCAAAAGTAAGTTTTCCTGTAAATAGGAAAAATGAAATATCCCAAAGGAAGCAAGGGCAGAGCAATGAGTTGAGGTCAGATGAGACCAGAACACAAGTAGCCAGTTGTAAAGTCCTGTCTGACATTGGGTTTGGGTCAAAAAATTGGTTCTAGGCTTCCTGGTGACAAAGGTCCAGTTTGTGTGTCCTCACAGCCAAAGCCACACACATGCTCCTGGCACCGAGAGAATCCTCCCATGGGGATGGGGATAATGAGAGGACCTCCAGGATGTCCCCAGAGTGGAGAGGAGTGGCAGTCTGATGCCACTCCCTTCAGGGAGCACTGCATTGTGCTTAGAAGGCTTGTGGTTAAAATCACTTTATAGAGTGGGCTTGCCCCTGAGAATGCAAACAGCACACCGAAAAACACTGTCCAGCCTGGGTCCGGTGAATGGCTCCCGCAGCCTGGGCTTAGTGTAGGTAGACGGGAGACTCCGGAAGCAAACCCAGTACGCCTCCCTGTAACCCTGGGCCCTTCCTGTGAAGACTGAGGAGGGACTCCCAGGCCCCAGCAGGAGCTGCGCAGTGACGAGATGGATTCAGCCTCTCAGCTCCTATTTCTGAGCCAGCAAGGGAGGGAATGACAGCGGTGAGCAAAGGGAGACCTTCCTTCCCAGCTGCAGGCCGCCTCGGCCTCCCTCTTTTACCGCTTTGGTCTTCCGTGACTCCATCCAGTCTTGGTCCTTTGGTGAACATCCTGGGAGGACCTATCATTTCTGTCCTACTGCATTGCCCCAGCCTGACACCTCCAACAGCTCTGAGGACACTGCCCAGGAGATGCTTTGGAAAATCCAAAGGACCTCTCCAGCCTCCATGTGCAGAAGGATGGACCCAGACTCCAAGAGGAAAAGAAGCGAGCAGCTTGCAAGCTCACGGTTCACAGAACGTGATTTTCAAGGAGCTTCTTGCAGAATGCAGAACTGATGTTTCCCAAAACATGCTTCAGGAACCTCAGACTCCATGCTTCTTTGTCGAAGTGCCCCTTGCAGGAAGGCTCTGGGGACCCTGGAGTGCAGATCTGCAGAGAACTCCCCTCTGCGTGCTGATCCTGCTGTCCTGTAGACACTAAAGCCACACCTGAAATATATCCTGAAGCCTGAAGCGGGCAGGGTGCCCCCGAGGGCTTTTCATCTTGTGCCTGGACCCGATCTGATGTGGCCTAGATGAGCTCTAATGGTCAGGGAGGTGGCAGCTCTGTGCATTCGGGCTGGAGCGAGGACAGCAGGTGGCAGACGCATGCCTGGCTCCTGTAGCCTTCAGCTTTGTGAGGGTGGAGTGAGGTGGGCCTCTGGACTCTGCAGGGCTGCTTCCTGGAGGCTGGCCACATGGGGTCTCTTAGGGAGGGCTCAGCCAGCAGACACAGGCGAGTTCCCCCGCCGTGGAGCCCACTGGAGCCTCTGTCTGTGCCATTGGATGGACTCATCCTTCTAATTTCCGAGGGCAAGGATAAGGCCTGTGGCTGGAACCAGTCACTGCCTGAAGGGTCTGAGATCTCACCAGGAAATTGGCCTGCTGCAGCTGGGGAAGGGGATTTGCAGAGCCATAGCTGGTAGTCAAGCTGTTGGGGCCCCGGGTTGACCTTACCATGGTGGTCTCCATGGTGACAGATGGTGCATCTGTACCACCTGAGGTGTCTTTGTAAGAGAAGCAGCTGTCCCTTGGTGGAGTGGGGTGGGGCTTTAGGGAGACCCAAAGGAGGAATTTCTCTCTCCATCCCCAAATGTCCTGGCAAGGCAGCTGTGTTTCTAGGTGGCCAGCTGTGGAGCTGATAGAGTAAGGGTCCCCTAAAGGCTAGAACCTGGCCTTTGTCAGGGTCCTCAGCTGGCCACCGGTGTCCATTCACTTTGCTAGCAAAGGGCACCTTGCTCTTCTGAGGTGGGGACGAGGACATCTTCACTGTCTGCTCTGGGTTAGAGTTGTGTTCCTAACACACTTGAAAACCAGATGCCTGCACTGGAGACACCTTGTCCCATGACACCTGTTAGAAGGGGAGGTTTATCCCCAAGGTGAGGAGAGTCAATTGGAAGCCAATATGAAATAAAAGCCAGCTGAAGCAAACCCCCCTCTGAATCCCACACTTGAGGGGTTATTTCTTTGGCTTTTTCTTCTTGCCCTTGTCCCCTAGTGCACTGAGGTGGGGCAGCTTGATTGATAGAGTGATTCAGTGGTGCATGCTGGGTGAGGACCCACTGCCAGGCTGAGGCCTTGTTGCCCCGGGCCCTGCATGCCCCTTCCCTGCTGAGGCCCCCACTCTGTGTCCATCAGCAGCAGCCCCTGGCCATGACTGTCCACCCCTTAGTGACCTCTGTGATTTGGGCTGTGTAGAAAATCCAGGACCTGGAGGCCACGCTGTACAATGCCCTGCAGCAGGAGCCGGGCCGGATGGCCAGCGAGGCGCTGAGCGCTGGCCAGCGCGAGGACCTGCAGGCCGCTGTGGAGAAGGTGCGCCGGCAGATCCTGAGGCAGAGCCGCGAGTTCGACAGCCAGATCCTGCGGGAGCGCATGGAGCTGCTGCAGCAGGCACAGCAGGTAGGGCCGTGGCCGCCGCACCCCGCCTGCCGCCCTGCACACCCGGCACTCTAGCCTGGCTGACCCTCAGGGGCATCTGGTATCCCAGGTACGCTGCTGGACAGCCAGCATGAGGCAGTCCCCTGGTGTGAGGCCTGTGTGCTCATGGCCACCCCCCATAGCCTGGCAGGGAAGAGGACAGCTAATTTGAGAGGTAAACCTGGGAGCTGAAGACCTCGGCATATTCTGAGGTCTTGCTGTCCTCTGTGGGTTTAGTGTGCTGCTGGCATGGAGCAGGCAGGTCTCAGGGCTCCTGGGTGACAATGCAGGAAGAGCAGCCGCGGGCATCTGGAGCCTATCTGGTGGGCCCTTTACCTCATGGTGCCCCTGGGGGTGGGCCCTAGAATGCCCATTTCCTAGATGAGAAACAGGCTAAGGGGACTCTCATGTGACTGAAGGTCACATACTAGTCAGGGATTCTACCAATAAGAAAGATCTAGATTACCCATGGGGAGAGGAGAGGGAGGATAAGAGAAAGAGCATGTGGGCGAGAGAGCGAGAGCGAGAGAGAGAGAGAGAGAGATGGAGGATTGATTTATTTTAAGGAACTGGCTCCGGCCATTGTAGAGGTTGGCAAGTCAAAGTCTGCAGGGCAGGCCGGAAAGCTGGACACCAGGGAAGAGGGAATCCTGGCAGCAGAGGCCTCTGTCCTTGAGCCAAGCTCCCCAGCTGCACTAGTGGTTCTCAGCAGCTCGCCTCCGGGTGTACTGTTCCCTGGCAGGTGCTGAGGCTTGGCCAGGCCCTCCAGGGCAGCGCACAGGTGACTGGTGTTGCTGGGATGCTCACCAGCCACCACCATGCCACCACCATTCCAGTGTCACCACATGTAGCAGTAGCAGGACACAGAACCCCAGCCATCCTCAAAGATGCGCAGACTTGGTGTGCACCTGTGTGCTGGGACTGTGTGCTGGGCACTTCCCTTTCAGGATTCCCTGGATTTGGGCACTCAGGTAGGGTTCCTGGGAAGAGGGGGTTTTCCTTACGGCAACCAGGGACACAAGGTGTTGGTGGAAGTGTATTGTGCACCTTCCACATGCCAGGACCCATTCTGGCAGGTGAGTGTGGAGGGTGACAGTCTCTGCCTTCCTGGAGAGGGCACTGAGATTCCAGCCAGGGGAACAAGCAGCCCACGGATAGACATGAAGGGTGCTGGACAGCCGCAAAGGCGAAGATGCAGGGAGCGGGTGAGCTGGCCTGTTGCCCGCAGAGGGAGCAGCGTGCCCAAAGGCCCTGAGGTGGGGCAGGTTTACTGTGCTCCGTGAGTGCTTTGTGGGTTTTGACAGAATTTTCAAAGTAGCACACTCTCTCCTGCATGTGTTTATAGGAGCTTTAGGAGAAACCACTAACCTGACATGACAGTTGTCATAAGCTTCAATAAAACCCGGAGGTGTGAGCTGCTGTGTGCAATGCCCAGCCCCTGGTTGGCCCTCGGCTAGTCAGGTCTCACCCCAGTTTAACAGATGGAAAAACAGAGGCCCTCTGGCCGAAACGGCGGGAAGCAGTGGCCTTCCCCTCCCAGCCAGCACAGGTCCATTGCCCCCGTCTCCACCCCTCAGGTTTATCAGTCATTCCTTACAAGTGTCCATTCTGCTCTGATTTGATAGTTTCAAAAATCTGGTCTTTTCAAAAAATAATACTACAAAACCCATTTATTTTGTTCGAAGGGAAAAGGAGACAAGAATTTCAGACCTGAAATACAGTGATTTTCAGTTTTTCCTCCAGGACACGAAAAATGGTAGCTTAGAAGTACATGTGGAAGCTGGAACATGGCATAGGGCACCGGTGTAGGGGCAGAGAGGCTTGGGTCTCCTGTCCCCTTGCAGCATGGCCTGAGATAGCCGCTGGGGTTGCCCGTCATCCTGAGCTGCCCGCACTTGTCTTGCTCCTGTCCCTGCTCACTGCCCGCTCTCTTCACTGTATCCCCACTAGAACACCAGCTCCCTCGGAGTGTATATGGATCCCTGCTACAACCCAGTGCATGGCACAAGGCTGGGTGCAAACACAACGTCGTAGACGCCACACACAATTCAGTACCACTCCTCAGGATGTGACGCCACAGGCAGCACCACAGCACAGGTGCCCAGCACCCCACAGCAGGGGCTGGGCCAACACTGGCCATTTAGGCATGGACCCTGGCTCTGGCTGCCTGCTCTGGACAGGACGGGCCCATTTCATCTGGCCATGGACTACACACCTGTCCCATGGAATATAGTCCAAATTGGGTCACTTGTCTGCCTGTCCCCAGCCCCCTGCTGACACGTGCATTTCCAAGCCCTGTGAACTGAGGGAAAGGAACCCCCCGATAGCTGACATGCCTTCCCCAACAGGATTACTGTGCTTTGCGCACGTTCTGCCTGAGCAGGGGTAGAGGTGAAGCCACAGTGTGGCCTCGCTGTGCCCCTCTGGGGTCTCCTAGCACCTGTTGTCCTGAGAGAAGTCTGCTGGGACATTACCCAGTCGCAGCACCCTCCCCGTGTCTCTGCCCTAGAGGCCTCCACGACACCAGGACCCCTCATCCCCACCCTCCCCAAAGACCCTCAAAAGTCGGGGCCTCTTAGCCTGGCACTTGGAGCCCCTCCACCTCGCCTGGGGCTCCCCTGCTTGCCATCTTGCCATTTGGCTTTGACTTTTCCAATGCCTGTATGCCGAGCGCTGTTCCAGGTGCTGGGCTCAGTGGGGACAGAGTCGGCCCCACTGCAGTCCTATCCCAGGGCCTGGGGGAGGGCCTGCCACATTGTAAAAGGTTCATGAAAGGTTGTGGGTGGAGCCCACCCCACACTGTGGGCCTCGTCTCACCCTAGGGTCAGGGGTCACTGCAGATACAACAGAAAAGGGGCCCAGGCTTGGGGCAGTTGGGGCACTCACCCAAGTCCCTCAGTCTATAAGTTGGGGCCCAGAACCCAAGCCAGGCTGAGCTGAGCTCCCTGCTCGCTCTCAGATGCTCTTCTGACCCTGCAACACTATGTGAGACTTGTCAGGGGACTGTTGTCACCAGACTGGGGTCATACATCGTACCTTGTGTGGGAGAATCCGAGGTGCCATTCTTAATCACGCATGGAGTACTTCCCAGCACCAGGCTCTGCTGTGATTCGTGGACACAGCAGCTCCATTGCCCTCAGTGTACAGATGACCGTCCCATCTTCAGAGGGGTCGAGGTCTTCCTCCCAGCTCCTGCATCAGGAGAGTGTTCTTTGTCTCCTTCAGGTCAGGCTGCTCTGCTTGGCTGTCCCGATTTTCCTGAAATCAAAATGGCATCATTGCCCTGTCTACAGCCTTGTCGCTCCCCAGGACACTCCCAGCTCAATGGGCACCTCATCGGGACATCCCATCCCTCCTGGCCTCCTCACATCCCTCACCTAGGACCCCAGCCTCCTGGTACTAGCTGTCCTCTCTGCCTGGGCTTCCTGTCACCTCCTGTACAACTGGCAGTGGACCTTCAGAGCCCTGCCAGACTTGATGCCTCCTCTGGGGTCTCAGCCCTCAGCTCCATCCTTCACCCACCTGCAGGTCTCTCCAGTGTGACCTGAGTGTGGCCTTTTCGGGCACTCATGTAAGACAGCACCCCCCACCTCCACCCTCAGTGCTCCTTGAGTCTCAGTGACATCATTGCTCATCTGCTGAACAGTCTCTGTATTCATGTGCTGCTGCTGCCTGAACCCTAACTGGTCTCTAAGCTCTTCAAAGTGGGGACTTTGTCTCCCTGGCACATATTGAGCTATAGTTGCAGAGGAATGCCTATAGTTGTGGTTCTCAAAGTAGGTCCCTGGACTAGCAGTGTTCACATCCCCTGGGATTCACTGCAAATGCACCCCTGAGGGTGGCAGTGACCTGCACCAGCAGACCTCCTGCTGATGCTGATGTGGGTGGGGAACTGGGGCTCTCCAGAATGCACAGAGGGCTTCTCTGGGTCTCTGGAGGCCCCGTATCTTGTTGATCTACGTGGCCTCCCTTACCCCTCACAGCCCTCTCTTGGTGAATGAGGTCTCTGTCTCCATCCAGGGCTGACAAGGGCTGTAGCCAGCTGGGCCACTGGCGGGGGTGGCCCACTTGAGATGGTGAAACTCTCTTGATCACACCACAAACTGGAGAAGGTTGTATTTGCCAGACCTGAGGGTCGAGGGGTGATTGAAAAGCCACCTGGGAGGGTGGGTGGCCCACAGGGGCTCAGGAGGTGCAGGACTGAGTGGAGTGACCCCTGTCTGGGCTGCAAGGACAGAGGGCTTCCTGTAACTCAGTGCTGAAGTGAGAAAGTCCCAGCAGACCTGGTACCTAGTGCCAAGTAGGGTTCTGAGGGGGTGGCAGGTGCCCAGAGGTGCCCTCTCCACCCTTCTCCTTCCCCAGACTCCAGCTGAACAAATGTTGGACAGATCTGTGATTTGGAGTTACAGCCAATCCATGATCTTTATGAGCCTGCCCCAGGCCCCTGCCTGATTTGGTCCTGTTTTGACTTTTGTATTTTTTAAATTTAAAAGGTCTGTCTTGGGGGTGCTATTTCCACCAACAGCTGGAATCCATCTGTAGTGACTGGCGTCAGCGGCGTTCCTTTGGGAGCACTGGCTGGAGAGGAGCAGGGTGGTCACAGATGGCACGGGTGCTCACGGAGCTGCCCGCTGCGTATGCTGCATATTTCACCCTTTGCTGCCTCCACACCAGGCCACCATGAGACGTGAAGGGTAAGGTTTTGAATTGGGACAACCTACTTTTCGTAATGCCTCCTGATCTCTGTTTCAGAGAATACGGGACTTGGAGGACAAACTTGAGCTTCAGAAGCGGCACCTGAAGGAGCTGGAGGAAAAGGTAGGTGTCCGGGGCTCATGTGTCCTGTGACTCTGCCCTGAGATGCTTCTGGGAAACTTTAGCTTTCCTTGTGGTTTCATAATGTCCAAAGAATGGGTGTGGCCTCCAGCTTTCCCCTCTCCAGTCCTCCCAAAGCAGCGCTTCCAGAGAAATCTGTGCCTCCCTCAAGGGCCCTCTGACAAAGAGGCAAACCTCTGCAGCGTGTGTGTATGTGTGTGTGAGTGTGTGGTGTCATCCACAGAATCCCTCTGCCGCCTCATGGGGAAGCGTGTGGGAGCACTAGCAAACTAACCTCTTTTGTCTGGAATAAACCGGGTTAGACTGTGACAGGGCTGTCCTGTCCCCACCACAGACATGGGCCGTCATCCCTGGATTCACTCATGTTAAACGCTTTCCATAGACCAAAAGTCAGGCATGTGTTTCTCCCTCCAGGGGGAAGGAGACTGGTCTCTTGCTGACCAGCGGGTGTTTCCCACTCAGCCCCACTGGTCCCTGTGTACTTAGGGCTGTCTTATGGGTGAGGAAACCCAGGTTGAAGTGAATTGGGAAGCTGGTCCTTGGTTCCAGGTGGGAAGGGGCAGCTGGGATCTTCCTAGATGTTGTGACCTCTCCACTTGCACCCAACTCACTCCATTGATCCTGGTGGACACATGGGACTTGTGGGGGACCACACAAGCAAAGCTGCTCGTGGGGGCATTTGCCACTTCCCATGTACCCACCTGGTGGCCACGGATCACTTGAGGACAGGGGCCAAGTTCTATTCATTCTTCATCCGAGACAGGGAGTAGGGCATCCCCTGGTGCTGGTGGGATGAGTAAAGGAATGGCCACACGTGAGCGCAGAGGAAGGCCTCAGTGGCATAGCTAACGTGGTAGAGGTGCAGGGACAGGTTGCAGGGCTCCTGCCTCTGCCTGGCCAGGGGCGGGGGAGTCTGAGGGTGGTAGGCCTGAGGAGGCCATTCCCTCTTAAAGGCAATGGGAAGAAGGCCCATGGAGGAAGAGGGAGAAGGGCATTTCTGGGCCTACGCCTCGGTGTCTGTCTTGTGAGAGAACATTAACCCCCAGGAACAACCAGGGCCGTCATTGGGCGTCACTGGAAGCAGGATGTCCAGAAGGGGGCAGCAGCCCTGCATAGCACTGTGGGCAGGAAAGATAGGACCGCCTAAGGTCAGAGCCCTGCTGCCTAGAGCACAGGGCCTGGCTGGCTGCGCAGCCAGTGGAGTCCTCAAGGGGGCGGCAGGGAGGCAGGGATTGGTGCTGGAGCCCTTCTGGGAAGGCGTCCACTGTGGATTCCTAGAGCCCCCATGGCAGGCGCCCACTCCTGTCCAGCCTCCTGAGAGGATCTCAGGATAATTCCCTTGGAGATTTCCTGGGGTGAGCTGGCTTTGTAGGCCACTGCGTCTGGGTTCTGCCCTGGTTTGGCCCAGATAGGCCCTGAAATCAGGGGAATGTGTCCTTTGCTCCCAGCCCGGAGTCCCATCTGCTGCTGGGAAGGCTGCCCTGTCTCCCATGATGGTGGCAAAGATGACATTAGACAGAGGATGTAAAAGCTCTTAGCACAAGGCCCAGCCAGACAGGGGCCCCAGCAACCCTCCCGCCCACCTGCCCATCTCCTTGGGACTGGAGGACTTTGGTCAATAATTACAGAGCCATAGAGGACAGAGAAGAGGCTTAAAACACAGCCCCCGTTGCTTGGAGATTGACAGGTCATCGGCTGCACTCTTCCTGGGGAGACACTGGCATCCCCTGCCCGGCTCCTTTCCATTCTTTCCTCAAGGCAGGTGCATTGGTCTGTCCCCTTTAGTCCCAGAGGAACTTTCAGAGGCTGTGTATCAAGCAGGAGGCATCAGCCAGGGAAGGACACCTGGTCAGGCCGAGGACCAGGAGCATTCCAGGGTGCCTGCAGGTCACCCGCATTTCCTCATGGCCACCACCTGGCTGTCGTGATGGGGGAAGTTCCAGCTACCCTCATCAGTGGCCAGAGATGCTCTGCCACAGCCCCTGGGTGGCCCTTCCTGCCCCTGCTTCAGTTTCCCCATGTGGACAAGGAGGCTGGGTGATCTGATAGCCCCTGCATCTCTCACCTCCAGGGATTCTAAAGAAGCTGCTGGCTGTTTATCTGGATTTTTACTTTTTTCAATAAATAACATGGTGGAGCTAACACCTTGATTTTTAGGGGGAAAAATAACTATTTCAAAAGCCCCAGGTGATGGTCAGGTAGGTTTCTTGTAATGATTAATGATTCCATTGGAGCAAAGCAAGTCATGAAGAGTTGAAGACATTTTTTTCAATATGGCCTGTATGATTTTTTGTTCCTGTGTTGCTAGGTTTTTCCTGCTGTTTATTTTTCTTTCTAAAGTCAACTGACCAAAAGACACAAAGAATTTTAAAACAGTGAATCTCTTGGAAGGAAAAAACCCTAGAAGGGATGGTGGGTCATCTGCAGGTTGTGCTGGGTGACCGGGGTGGTGTCACTTCATCCCTGCTCAACATGGCCTGGTGTGCTTGTGGGAGTCACCCATCATGACCTCCAGAGGGTTGCACTGTCCTGCCCACCCAGTTTCAGCACCCAAAAGTCCCAGATCGGGGTGTAGCCCTCCCCTGGCGCCCTGGGTTGGCAGAGTGCTGGGGAAGTTTGCAGGGGTAGCCCTCTGGGCATGGCGTGCTGGAAGCCGGGCATCCCAGGTGACATCCGCTCCTGAACCTGCTCGTCTCCAACCTGATGTCATAGATCTTGTAAGATGCTGTCATTGAAATCCATACCACATATCTTACATCTTTTTTCTTTTCTTTTCTTTTCCTCATTTTCTTTTGGTCTTATGTTATAGTTTTTGTTCCTTTTTTTGTTTTTCTCACTAGCATTCATTCTGTGGCCTTGACGACTCCAGTGAGCCAGGAACTCGGGTTGGTATGCTTTCCTTTTTACTCATAAAAATGACGATTTTCCAACAAAGGAGGACCCTTCCATCTCTGGCTGGAACAGTGCTGGAGAGAGGGGGCTCCTGGAAGGGGCCTCGTGATGGGTCCCACCCGGGATCTTTGAGTCCCGGTGACCCTGGGGTTCCTACAGTCCCGCCGTGGCAGGGAGGTTGGGAAGGCATGCTGGGACTAGGAAAGCCCTAGTGGAGTTTCATCCACAGAGGGGTTTTGTTTTATTCCAAGGCCCTTTCCAGTCTGGCCTCAGGTTCCGGTGCTCTCTGTGGCTCTTCTGTAGAGTGTGGAGCGAGTGGGCTTGCATGGTCAGGGGACTGCAGGAGCAGGCAGTTAATAAACCAGTGGCCCAAGAGGCCGGACTGTGACCTACCTGCCAAATGCCCAGGGAGCCCTGCTTCTCTCCCCTGAAGACCCTTGCCCCCTTGCCTGGTATGGATGACTATCTGTGCTCAAGAACCACAAGCAAGAAGCCACCCCCGCAGCTGGTCCTGCCCTGATCACTGGGCACCTGTCACCCTGAGTTCCTCCTTTGACATCTGAGCCTTCCATATCTCCTTTTCTGAGTTTCCATTTTGGCCCTGGGGTCTGCCAGGGATCCTGGACTCTAGGGTTCTGCCCTGAATTCAGCCCAGGCTGAGGGACCCAAGCTCCAGGGGTACCCCCTGTGCCCACTAGAGGCCTGGACACCTGGGCTGAGCTCTGACAGCTGGCCCTACCTGCCATCCTCAGGGCAGCATCCCCTGATGCTGACTGCTGACCACAAGGCTTAGGTCTCGTACCTTCTACCCTAGGGTCAGGGACAGAGTATACTACATACTGGCTGTCCATTCAATGTGAATGGACAAAGGAATGCTCTCAGGTTGAGACAGCTCACCTCGTCCACTAAGGAGGGGCACGGGTGGGGATGGAGGACAGGAGATTCAAATCCTGCTTGCTATGCCCCTAGATCATCAGGGAAGACCCCCTGGGGCTCTGCTGGAGAGCTCAAGATGGCACGGGGTAGGTGGGGGCAGATAAGTTAGGGACCATCCAGCCATTTGAACCTACATTCTTGTGTCACTTCAAATTATTTTTAATCTTACAGGATATAAAAAGAGTTTATGGAATGAGCTGAGTCCTGCGGCAGCCTCAACCCTACTCAAACCAAAACTCAACAGCAAACAAGTTATTCAAAGCCCAGAGACTGAAAACAGAATTCACATGTGTTTGAAAACAGCTTTAAAGGGAGGCCTCTCAACGTGTGGCTGCGTCCCAGCTAGCCCAGGCTGAAAGGACTCTGTGGGACAATGGGATCATGTCAAACTCAGTCACAGCTGGGTCCCAATCATGGCACCTTCAGGAGCCTGAGGGGCAGAGACCTGGAAGCCAGGAAACCAAGTGCAATTAGCAGGAACTGAGGGGCTGGAGAGCCACTACACTGTCTGGGGACCAACTTGAGTCCCTGTCCCCACACTGTATGCCTCCCCCAGCTGTGGCGAAGGTGCCCAGCTGGACCCAGATGCCCCCTCTGCCCAGTGTATATAAATCTCGTTGAATCGTGCCGTGTTCATCACGGAGTCTTTCTGCCGGAGCTACTTGAAATGTCCCTGTGATCAGAACCCAAAGCCTGGCCCTGTCAGCAAAGCCCTCTGGCTCTGTGCACAGCTGGATGTAGCAGCTGGCAGAGAGAGAGAACTGGAGCCTCGCCCACCATGGAGAAGTGGACCCCAGGGACCGAGGATTTCCACTCTTGCAGGTGTGGCATGGCAGAAGTTCTGAAGAACAGCTCTCCCCAGGACCAGGTGGAGTGGGGACCAAGAGCAGCATGTCCACCCCAGGCCATGCTCGGACCTGTCTTCTTGCTTCTTGATTTTAATTTGCAAGGGGCATGGAGGAAGAAAAAGCTGGCAGGTAGAGCAGCTCCAGCCACCCTGAGGACACAGGTGCCCCCCAGGTCTGAGGCCAAGCCACTCCCTCACTCTCCCCAGAGAAGAGTAAACGCCCCGCTCCAGGGAACCTGAATTGAACAGAGAGGTGCCCCATGGCCAGGTGGCTGTGTCTCCCTGAAGAAGGATGGCGGGCAACGTAGGGAGGCCCTGCCCGCTGGCAGAAGTTGAGACCCGGAGGAAGCTCTGGAGAAGTGCCTTGAGTGTTGTTCTAGGGTGGAGGGGGCACCTTGGAACGCACCTGATCACGTGACCATCCTCCCCAAACTTGCAGAAGCAGGACACTTGCTTTTAGGTGAGGTGGCTGAAGAGGCGTGTGGAAGGGAAAGAGGACGGCCCCTCTGTGGGTAGGCCGGGATGCTGCTGGGTGCGGCTTCGTGGAAGCCATGCCAAAGGTGCCACCCTGAGATTTCCTGCAAGAAGAACCTTGGAGAAAAGGGAAATGACTGGAGTTACAGCTGCTGCAGGGCCCCTGGCAGTGGGGACCTACAGAGGCCCTGGAGTTCTTGGTAGACCAGATCCAAGGATGGAGAAGGCAGGACCCATGCTCTGCACCCGAGGGGACCCAGCCAGATGGGAAGGGGCAGCCCCTTCACATCAAATCCAAGAGTCGAGGGCTGGAGGCAAGCACCCAAGAACAGCTGAGAAGCACCCACTTTGTTGAAAACCAAACCTCAGAGCATCTGTGACTCACCATCACTTGGTGACCAGGTGCCAAGGCACTGCTGGTACATTGGCTTGAAAATGGAGGCCAGGATGGGAGTGTGGCGTCAGCACGAGTGAAGACCAGAGGCCCTCCCTGCTCCAGATGAGCAGAGGAAGGTCCCTGCACTGACTCTGGGGGCAGAGTGCGGAGCAGCCCCAGGTGGTCCTGGGGGTGCCCAGGCTCTCTGTTCCCACAGCACAGTGTCTGTCCAGCATCCCTACAGGACTGTGCTGGGATGTGGTCCTTGTGTCCTCTTGTAGCTGGGCAGTATCTGTGACTGCTCAGCTATCTCACTCAGACAACAGGAGGCGAGTGGACTTGGCTTTGAACTCTGAGCCATGTGGTCACTCCCAGCCCCCACTTCCCTGCTGCAGACACTGGCCACGTTCTCACGGCTCTGAGGAACAGGGGTGGCAGTCCCATGCTGTGCCTCACAGAGGCTATCTGTGGCCATACTCAGACAGACTCCCAAGGATCCCTGGGATCCTGGACTCTCCTGGCAGGAGTGCAGCACCCACCACATCAACGGGAGCAGTGCTCCAAGGAGGCTCTACAGCCACCCATGGGGCCGGGGCCCATTCTCTGCAGCCCCCGGAGCCAGCTCAGGACCAGGGTATGAGGCCCACACAGGCAGGGGTGGGGACTGCCCTGCATGGGAGTCCCCAGTCCCTAGCAGAAGCCAGCATTTCTTGTTGCCTTCCCAGGCCCCTGCCAGGGACAGGCCCAGCCTGGGAACAGGAGCTACAGTACTCAAGGATCCTCGGCGTGGCTGGCCACCAGGTGTGCACTCCACCTGCTCCACAGCCCTGGGGTGCTGAGTTGCAGCCTGGGTGGCTGACCCAGGTCACTTTCTCCTCCAGAGGAAGAAGGATGGCCCAACCCTGCCCCAGATCCACTGTGGACACAGAGAGCGGTCTCCGCCTCCCACCCTCTGTTGGCTGGTGCCACGGTGAGGACCTGGGGCAGAGAAGCCGTGGCCCTCAAGCTGCGTTCTGGCTTTTGGCAGCCTGTGGAGCTGGGAAGGAGGCCCTGTCTGAGCCAGGAGACTGGCTATGAAGACTGAAATGCCAAGCCACATACAGGATCCAGACCTCTGGTTCTAGGTGGGGACCGTCCCGAGGCTACAGGGCGAGTGTCTCTGATGCCCCTTGGCTCCAAACTCCAGCTGGTCTACATGAGTTTTGCCATGGCGCACCTGCTGGGTGTTGGGGGAGGTACAGGAGGCGGGGCTGTACTCTGGGCGATTCCCACCCCACCTGGTCCACCCCACGGTCTTGCTGAGGCCTTGGGCTGGGCCTCTAAGGGGGGACCGGTGCAAGGCAGGGTCAAGTGCCCTGGGGAGCTGCATCCCTGCTCCCCCTCTCCTCCATCTGCAGTGTCAAGACACACATCTCCTGCTTTCCTGCAGCTTCCCTAACCAGCTTGTCCCCAGGAGGAGTCGCACCTGACCCTCCCAGTACAAACAACTCTGATTTTTGCTTATTTCTTACATTTAACGGGAGCCGGCTAGGGGTCTGGCACATTGGATGGGAAACTCCAACCCAGCCAGTTTGGGGGCTTCTTCCTTCAGGTTATCTAAGAATTCTTGGGGACTTCTGCAGACCCCAACCCATGCCCTAGTGGCCCACGCTGTGGTAGGTGGAGCCTCTCTTTCCCTCCCCATCTCTCCAGGGCTGCCTATCTTGGGGTCTCAGCCGCAGCCTGTGTCCTTCCTGTGATCATTCTTAGCTGTGGGGGACCTCTCCAAGGCCCCCAAGGGTGGGGGCCCTCACAGCCTCTCCGTGACCATCTGCTCCCCTCCCTTGGATGCCCAGCACCTACCCTCAGAGAAGACAGGATCCATGGCTCAGGCCTCCACCCTGCAGCCCAGCTGGGCGGTAAGCCACATTCCTCTTCCGTCTCCCCCAGCCCGCGTTTTCCTCTCCTGAGAGTCTTGGTTAGTCATCCAGGAAGAGCCCAAAGATGCTCCCTTGGGCTGAGGCCTCAGGCTTCAGCTGCCTGTGCCCTGTCCTCAGCTGGGGACTGTAGGGGAGGGCTCTCTCAGCTGCCTTCAGCCTCTGCAGTGCTCCTGCTGCAGGGGATCCTCCCAGCTGGGGCTCAGGGGCCAGGCACTCAGGGAACCCTCAATACAGCCCCAGGGGTAGGGGCCTGAGGTCAGTTTCTTGTTCCAAGGGACTGAGTCAGGTGCTAGGATCCTGCGCTGAGCAGGTGGTGTGGCAAGCCAGGGCAGGGTGTCCCTGCCAGCGCCCAGCCAGTGTGGACCCCAGAGCGTGGAGGGCACTGCTGAATGTGTGAGGGGGCTTGTTCATTCCTCCATGGCACATAGATGCCCCTCCCCTCCTTAGATAGTGTTTACCCCCCCCCCTTGCAGGAGGCATTAATTTGTCCAGATTGTACCTGAGAGGTGACAAGATGGGGTTCCAAGCCAGGTGGCTGGCCCAGCCCAGCCCTAGGACCTGAGAGGCTCACTCGGCCCTCAAGGCCAGCCCCCACCCCTCCCCTTCTGCTCCACACCTGTGCACCCCTCGTGGCCACCCACATGTCACCTCTTCTGAGGACATGCCATCCAAAAAATTTTTTAAAAAGCTTCTCCCAGCTCAGATGCCCTCTCAGCAAGGGGAGGAAAGAAAGAGAATAGCTTTATTGGAGGATGAGCATGAAGCCAGGGGAGATGTGCATCCTGAGTGGCCCTGGGGACACTGGAGCCAGAAAGCTTACCTATCCCGCGCTCTCATGATGACCCATGGCTAGTCCTTAAGTCGGGTCGAAAGCACTTGCTACCTGGGATTCCTCCCACATTCTCCTGGTGACGGGGGACCTTTCTGTGTTCACCTCTGTCTCTGCGAGAGGAGGAGTTTTGATGACTCGGAGCCAGGGCCAGGTAAACACCTACCTGCCACATAACCAGAGGGTGCTCTTCCTGGTGTTCAGGTCCACAGAGGTGGTTCTGGGGCCTGGAGAAAGACATTTTGGGGCCATAAAATGGCAAAAGGCCCCCACGGTCTCAGAAGGGTTCACATATGCACCCGGCCCTCAGGATCCAGCCCTTCCTCCTGTGGATTTGACCAATGGCAGACAAAGACTCTAGAAAAAACGTTGCTGTGGCCTGTGTGCTGAGCAGCTCGGGCCTTTCTGTTTCTTCATTCCCGGGCAACTCAGCGCAGCAGCTACATGCCAGGGTCGGAGTCTCTGGAGGTGATTTAAGATCCGTGGAGGACATGCGTGGGTTCTACGCAAATCCTATGCTTTTCCTTAGAGGCCCTTGAGCATCCTGGGCTTTGGTGTTTGTGGGCATTCTGGGAGGCCAGACTTACCCCAGGCCAAAAAGAGTCCCAGAGAAGTCACCTGGCATGAAAAGTTAAGGGGTGCACAAAGGAGAACTGGGATTTCCACCGAGGGATGGCTTTGTTGCCATGAGATGAAGAAAACCTGATGAGTGTTCTAAAGTAAGTGCTCAAGAAAAGGGAGGGAGAAGCCCCCTCCTATCTTTACTGGGAGAATTAAGCTCTCAGTTTCTCACTGTCCTCACAGCGCTCGGTCTGCCTGGCCTCCTCCCGCAGGGCTGGCTGCCCTGTTCCTGCCTCTGTAAACCTGAGGGCTGGATCCTCACCATTTGTCAGGCCAGTCACCTCCCTAGCTCTGAATACCTCAGCACCCACCAGTGCCTCAGAGACACCAGAGTCCCCCAAGCGCCTGTCTACATACAGCCCGGAGCCACGCTTGAGTGCCCCTTGGCCAGCCACACCCAGCCACTTCATTCCCATGGGGCTGTGGCCTGAGGATGGCTCCCTGGGGACTCTGTCACCCCTGTCCTGGCAGCAGCTCATCATTCCTCCTGCATCTCTGAGCCTCGCTCCCTCTTCCACCTCTGGGCTCCCAAAGGGCCCCTCTGTTTTGCCCTGGGGTCCTGTCGCACCCATGCCTATTGTAGCTCCCAGGCCAGTTTGGGAGTCAGACCTGCATCTGAGTCCTGATTCTGCCACATTCCAGCCCTCTGTGGGGCCTGGACAGCTCCTCCACCCTCCCAAGTCCCTCTTCCACCATCTGGAAAAGGGTCTTATTGATGCCACACAGTAAGTCACCTAGCTGGTCACCAGCATTGTGCTGGTGAGGCAGAGAAGGACTCCCAGGCAGCATCAACTTCCTGTCCCTTTTGCCTAGCAGATTTCAAGTCCTTCATAAGTAGGGCACCAAGGGAGGGGGCTTCATCCATTCTGGGGTAAAGTCTTGAGCCTCACTTGCTACTGAGAATCTGTGACACTCTTGTGGTCCTACTAGGACATCTTACTTTTCTCTTTGTGCTGGAGGTTGGGCATTTCATCCCAGGTGGTTTTTCGGACTCTGTTGCTCTGGTGAGTCTGGCTGGGGACATGTAAAGCGAGAGGCTTTCATTCATATTGGATGAGCTGGTGGAGAGAGACCCATCACTGTCTCATGAATAATCCACCTGTTCTTGCCCTCCTCAAAGGACACTTTCCTGAAGGATGTTTCCAAAGTCACTGAGCCACCTTGAACTCTCCATAAAGTCCACGTTGCAAACTCACTTAATATTATGAAATCTTGATCTGTGAAGTATCTATGGGATGGAGCCCACAGCTCAGGGACGAACTGAGAAGAGTTTCAGCTATGTCATCAGAGCCCCCAGCAGTGATGCGTTGGATGTCACGCACGTGGATGTGAAGATCGACACATGCTGGATATTCCGGGACCTGGAGGAGAGTGGTGAAGCACAGGGGTGCCTTCCAGAAGAAGTGGCCGGGACCCCAGAGGTGGACACGGGGATGCTCGGGAAGCAGCTGGAATCCTCAGAGCAGAAGCCTGTGGCAGCTGTGAACACGCACGTGATGTCGGAGTCCAGGCTGAGGAGCAGGTGGGTATGCATCGTGGGCTCTTGTGTGTTTGGCAAATCCTGGGGCATCACAGGCGTGTCACCATGGCACATTGCACCATCCCTCCAGCTGAGGCGTGGTGCACACCCTAAGTGCACACCCTGCCTGTGTGGGCATCTGCCTCCCTCCTCCTGCCCTCCCTGTGCTCCGCTGTGCAGCTGCGTAGGTCCTGCCTTCTCACCTGGGCTTCCATCCCAATCCAGCCAGGGAGAGGCACCTCAAGGGAGTGAGGAAGAGGGGCTGGGGGCTTTTCCTCTCTTCTGCTCCAGCTGCGGCTGCAACAGGTTCTCTGCTCCCTCCGTGGCCCCAACGCTGCTGGGGCCTGATTGGCTCCTGGGCCCCGATCCTTGCTCCCCAGCCCCAGGGGCAGATTGGCTCCAGAGCTGCCAACCTGGGCTGCCTGGCAAGGGTCCGGCCCTCTGACTGTCCCTCATCTTTGCCTCAGGAACTCCACACGGGTTTCTCTCTGGCTGAGCTCCTTGGTGGGGGCCCTTTCCCTAAAGGGGCTGCCATGGCCCTGGGTATGGACATTTGAATCCAGGTCTTTCTCCAGAGCTCAGGCTTCTGATCACCCATTTCTTCTTCTGTCACGGGAAAAGACCTGTCTCTGAAGAAGAGTCCCAGGAGTTCCCAGGGGGAGGGGTTCCACTCAGGACTGGGGGACGCTTGGCATACGTGATGGACAAGAACTTCAGCACACACCAGGCTGGCGTGGACAGAGGTTTATTTGGGAAGCAGACACACATTCAAGGAGAATGCGGGCTGTCTCCACAGTGAGAAGCCCTGTCTCAGGCGGGGGCCCCAGTGTCTGTGGAGGAGCCGTAGTCAGGGGCCCAACTGGAGGTGGGCCAGGAGAGGCTGCGGGGAGACAATTTTGTGCCACTGTAGCCTGTGTGTGCGTTTCCCTCAACCAGGGCGCAGGCCAAGGGCGTGTGGCTGCAGTTACAGCTGCTCCCCAGCACTGCCGCATCTCCGTGGCTCATGGACGCTTCCTTTGAAACTCAGGATACGTTAGTTTCGTTCCCCTCCTTCTCTTCCATTCCTCCTTCCTTCCCTCCCTTCCACACTGGGGACGGAAGCCAGGACTTCACAAGCTAGGCAAGTGCTGTGCTGAAGTGCCCCAGCCTCCTGAGGACTGCTGGACACCCGGCCAGCAGAATGAGGCCACGCCTTCTCAGAAGGGAGCCCAGAGTAGACATGCAGTGCGGCTGTGGCCGGGTCCCTAACCAAGGCTGCCTGGTGCCTTGGCCTGTGGTGGTACTTCCACAGTTTTGTTTCTTGCCTTTGTTTCAAGTTATTAATTGTGTATTTAAATATAATTTACTGTGTTTCTTCTGGGTAAACCATTCAAACAAGCTGGACCTGGTGGCGCATACCTCTAATTCCAGCTACTGGGGAGGCTGAGGCAGGAGGATTGCAAGTTTGAGGACATCCTGGACAACTTATCAAAACCCTATCTCAAAATAAACAATAAAAAAGTCCTGGGGGTGTAGCTCAATGGTAGAGCACCCCTAGGCTCAATTCCCAGTGCTTCAAAACACAAAGCCAAAGAATGTTTCACATGAAGACTTTCACAAATGTCCCCCACGTAATCGCCCGTTCACTGCCACCCTGCAGCCTGAAGAACTGGAGGCAGGTGGTCAGCTGGGTCAGTTTTCTTGGGCTGCTGTAACAAAGCACTGCAGGGTGGGGGCTTAGAAAATGATTTCCCCACATTTTCGGAAGCAGCAGTGTGAGGTCAAGGGCTGCTTCTTCCTGCAGCCTCTCTCCTGGGCTTGCAGGTGTGTGGTCGCCGAGGTGTCCCTCTGTGTCTCAATCTCTTTTGATAAGAACATAGTCAGATTGGATTTAATGACTCCACTCTACAACTTCCTTTTAACGTAATTATGGTGGTACAGGCTCTGTCCCCAAATACAGTGGCATTCTGAGGTCCTGGGAGTTAGGACTTTGAAAGGTGAATTTTGAGGAGGACATAACGTCACTCATAACTCTGGTCCTGGGGTTGAGCCCTGGGGAAGACAGGGTGCCAGCCAGAGGCCCTCTCAGTGTAGCCCACGTGAGCTGCATTCACATCTTGGAGGTCACCCACCAGAGGAGGATGGACACAGTTCCTCCACATGAGGGGGACAGCATGAGAGCCCCAGGGACACTGTGGGTGTGGGAGAGGAGAGGCCTCAACAGCTGGGCCTGGGATGAGGCCATCCTGGAGAGGGTGTCCTTGACCGTCCCATGGGGGAGAGGGGCTTGTGTCCTCTGGTCTCTTTAAGGACAGGGTGCCCATCTTGCAGAAGAGGGGCAGAGGCACAAAGGCTGGGTGTGTGGCAGGGGTGAGGAGCAACAGCCCTTGCTCTCCCTCCAGGGACCCTCTTGGCCTCCTGGGCCGCAGGTGCCTGGAAGGTATCATCTCCCTCTTTGGATGGAAAAACTGGGGCTGAGGGGACAAAGCTCATCATCCATGGTTTGAAGCATGATTCCAAACTCAGATTTCAGGCCAAATACCTTAGAGGTGTAGTCTAGCTGGGATCAGCAAATAGTTGGCAGCATGCATTGGATTCATTTCCACAAAATAGGATCTTAAAGTATTTATAATAACACAACAGCACTGTTGGAAATTTGAGAAAGAAATCCCTGATCTGTCTTCATGGTGTGAGCACTTTTGTGTAATTGTTTCCAATCTAGATGCCAAGGATGAAGGACAGTGAGGACCTTATTGAGCTCTGGCTTGACATCAGCCACTGTCCGTCCTAGGCAGGTTGAGCCTGGCCAATCCTTAGGACAGTACTGAAAATGAAGCCCTGGTGTTGTTCTCATCCATAGATGGGGAAACCGCAGCTGGTTAGTTAGGTAACTTACCCAGGCCGCTCCCAGCCATGCAGGGTGGTGGGACTTAGCCAGGCAGTCAGGATGTCCCCTCGGCTGCGATGGGCCAGTGCATTCTGCTGCGTGACAGAACCTTCTAGTTTCATTGCATTCTTTGCAGCACTGTCTACCAATATTTTTAAAAACTTGTTGGTTTAACCAGTGAAAAACATGCCATTGTCCATTTCTTTCATGCCTGAAAACATGAATTTACTGGCCTAGACTCTATATTGCTGTGTGACCTTGACCTGGAACAAGCTACCTTGTAAGTGTCCTGTGGCTGCCATAACAAATGACCATAAACTCGGTGGCTTAAGACAGCACATACTGATTGTCCTTCAGTTCTGGAGGTGAGAAGCTGGAAATGAGCTCAGGTGCATCAAGCTAGGGTGCCAGCAGGGCCCTGCTACCCCAGAGGCTGTGGGGAAACGGCTCCTTCCTTGCTCATCTTCAAGCCCCCAGTGTAGCTTCTGTGGTCACCTAGCTTTCTTCCCTGAAGCCCGCTCTCCCCGTGTCTCCCTCTGACAAGGACATAGTCAGGGCCACCTGGATAACCAGGGAGGCTCTCCTGTCTCACATGTGTGCCTTGGCCTAATGGCACCTGCAGCCTCTTTTGCACTTCAAGGGTTTTGTCTTGGGTCCCAGGGACCAGGCTTGGGTGAATCTGGGGCTGAGTCGTCCTGCCTCAGGGAGACCATCTTCTTCTGCTTGGTTTAGGAATAGGGAGAGGGTCAGAATGCAACATTCTCACGTGTCATGGGGCAGGCTGCCTTTTCTTTCCCCCTCAGCTCTCACTGCCTTTCATTAGCAATCAGAAGGCACCAGCCTGACCCTGACTGATTAACTGTTGGGGGGGGGGGCATTCAGCCCAAAAGGGCCTTGACTATAATCTTCTCCTTAAGGCCCAAGTGCTGGAGTAGGAGAGGAGACTCTTGGACTTATTGTTAATAATGCATCATTTTATTAAACCGTCCAGCAACCATGTGAGCAGGATAGAATTACCTCTATTTTACAGATGAAGCAGGGTGGTGGTGGTGAACACACCCAGTTCAGGGCTGCTGAATGGCAGCACCAGGAGGCAGGGCTGGTCTTCACCCAGGGGAGCAGAGTCTTTCCTGGATGAGGTCAGCAGTGTGAACTCGGTAACGGAGCGAGGATGCAGAGCTTGCTGGCGGAGGCCCCCGTGTGCATGGAGGTTTTCTATCCTAGAAGCCTCCGGCCTCTGCAGTGCCTCTGACAGGAGCGGCACCCCTGTGGGCCTCACTGTGGGCCCAGGAGCAGCAGCGGGCACTGCAGGGGGAGCTGGTCAGCCAGGTGACTTTCCCTTCCTCTTTCTCTTTAATGTTCTCCCCATCCTGCGGGCATCTCCTTCTACAGACCTGGGGTCAGGCTCACGCCCAGGCCCGGTGCTGCTTTGCTGGTGACACAGCCTCCGGATGACCTAAAGCCGCTGCATGGCTCAGCTGCTCCTGTTGGTTAAGCTGCTTCCTGCTTCTCACTTAGAAGTGGACATTATACAGAGATGGATTTTCTTTTATTCCAGAGCTTTTTCTGAATGTCGATCATTCCCTAGAAAGACTCATAAGAACGTGGCTTGGATGCAAGCAACACACACAGGCCTGAAAGCATGAATTTACTAGATGGCCTAGACTTTATAATGCTGTGTGACCTTAAACAAGCTATCTGATCCCTCTGAGCCTCAGTTTCCCCATGTGTGAAGTCAGGGGAACATTATCCCCTTCAGGCTGTTCATGTTGGGAGGATGAATTGAAGCCACCCAGATAAACTCCTGCCAGTCACTTTTG